AAAGAGTTCTATAGTCCTTGATAAAGAGGAGGAGGAGAAGACAGAAGGGGGTGGGGGGAAGGGGGTGAACAAAAAGATGGCAAAAGAAGACAAGACGTAGATGATGAAGGGAAGGGACAAAACCACCCCCACCCCACCGGGGAGGCAACGCAACGGCCCTTCAATCAGTCGTTTATACTGAAGCAGGACACGCGGTACCACGGCTTTGCCCTGCAAGCTGGCGGTGAAGAGCGAGCATGGTAAAATAATAATGATAATAATGATGACGATGATGATGATGAAGAACCAAGCTAGAAGGAAAAGAGCAAATCTCCTCCACGCTACAGACTGGTTGACAGGGCCGGTTCTCTCGTTTACGAATCCAGTAAACAATGGATTGGAGAGGAAGGAAGGAGAGAGGGGGGGTGGATGTATGTGCTTTGGACCTTTTCCTTTTTTCCTTTTTTCTTCTTTCGCCTGCTCTGCTCTTGGCGGGAGGAGCCCTGACTGAAAATAAAACATGAAGAGTGTTGAGCACCACCATTGCCCGGCAGTCTGTTATCTGCTAGTGGTTTGCCATCGTTGCATATGGACGGATGGACGGAGTAAGGAGGCAAACCTACGCTACTCTCGGCGGTACCCACGGTGCTGTCGTGTCTCAACAGGGGTGGAGCGGCCGGGCCCTTTTAGTATATTTTTTTTATTTGTTCCCCTTTGCGAGACGACACGGACGTGGAGCTGGACAAGGGGAACAACAGCGCGGCGCCAAGACTCTCCGATGAACCCGGGAGAAGGGGGGGCTGTACAGACAGACAGAGAGAGCAACGGGGTGACTGATGCGACTGATGAGGATCTTGGTGCGTGCTGGAGACGGCTGGTCATCTGAGTGAAGGCCACATACAGCAAGGATGTACGTACGGAGCAATGCGTCTGGTGGTGTGAAGTTTGCCAGGCAGTCGGGGCCACGGGTGCACGCACGTTCCTGGAGTCCTGGGACGCATCGTGCTTCATCGGCGCTTGGAGTTGCGGACATGGATGGAGCTACAGCTGCCGACTGCCTGCCTGCACCTGGCCGGACCGGACCAGTCGTCACGGACGGACGCAACACTGGCGGTCAGTCTTGGGTTTGATCCACAGGCGGAAATAGTCGACAGGCGCGGCTTCCCAAGGCTCCGCCACGATCCGGCATGGGAGGGCATTGGGTGGGCAGGGGCAGGCTGCGGCCCCCCATCTGCGTCCCAGGATTCCCTGACTCCCATCCGCTCGATTGCCGTCCCGGCCGGTGGGTGGGCCGCCAAGCCCGTCTGAGTGTGCGGCGGCACTTCTGTTTGGAGCAGACATGGATGGGGGCAGAGTTTATCAAAGCGTACTCCGTACTCTGTACAGGGTTGTGGATGGCGGATGGTGGATGGTGCAACGGCGCGGGAAGCCTGCGTTGCGTGTCGCTGTCGGGTTTTTGCCGTTTGAGCCTCTCTCCGGGGGACGTGCAAGGAAGCCGTCGACACGGAGGAGTCGCCATGCTGCTTGGGGGGGTGGGTGCATATTTTTTTTTTTCTTTCCTTCCCTTTTCTTGCGTCAACCTTGACAGTAAATGCTGGCGAAATTCAACGGCGATCTTTTCTTCCCCTTTCCTCCCGCCTCCATTCGCACCTGTGCGGGCGGCGGTGGCAGCGCACTTCCAACTTTCACGATGCATCCGTCACCAGCACGTCGGATGCCAAGGCCCACGGCGCAGCTAGTCGCGTCAGGACTTGCAACAGGCGAGATAACGGAGCGAGGGGCCCGGCCGGCTCTGGGATGACGATTAAACCCTACACGCCGTAGCCAAGGCCCAAGGGGCACAGAGTCGCAGTGCTAGCACGTACGTGTCGTGCGAGCTCTTCTCTTTTCACAACGCATCAGGCCTAGCCAAGCCCAGCCAAGCCCAGCCAAGCAAACGCCGCCTCGCTCTTGGGCGCCGAGTGCGCAAGGACGGATGTGAAGACGCAAGCTGCTGCACCTCCGCGAGCAGAGTCGAGCAGCCAGTCGCTCGCCGCCGTGTCGGCACCATGGCAGCATGGCAGCAGCATACAGCAGGCCTCCGTACAAACAAAGATCTGCCTTGGCGGTGTGAATGAATACCATGTCCTGGCAGTCTAACGCGAGTATCGCGTGTGTCCAGGTCGCTTTAAACTTTGTGCCGCGTCGCCGCCCCCCCCCCCCCCCCCGAATTGCGACAGCAACGTCGACGGTGGGTGGCAATGGCATGCAAGTCACTCCCACGTCTGCCGTCTGCCGTCTGCCGTCTGCCGTCTGCGCATCGTGTCGTGTCGTGTCGTGTCGTCGCTTGGCGCTAAGAAGAAGCATAAGTTGACAGCCCTCACATGTCACACGTCTGGCCGCTGCGCCCACGTGCAGGGAGACCTCTGAGAGAGTGAGGAACGCCCTGACCCTGAGGCCTGGGGGAGCGCCCTGATTCCCAGGCGGCTTCCTGTCTCAGCCCAAAGCGGTTGCGTCGCCCAGATGTGTGCGACTCTGCGAATGCAACCACTTGCTTCTAGAAGGGAAGAAGGGGAAGGGGATGGGCAAGGGAAAAAGAAAGAGGGAAAAAAGAGCCTCAACAGGTCGAACAATCGAAGCAATCCACTGCTCTCTCCCATTTGCATTGCATTGCATTGCATAGCATAGCATCGCATCGCACCGCATCGCATCGCCACCCTCCATCGCCCAATGCACGCACTCCTTGTCAATGACCGAACCCACAAAGCCACCTACGCACATCTACCTGGGTGCCTGGGTACTTGCGTACCAGTATCCAACTTAGGCACCTAGGTAGTTACTAAGCCACAGCCTGAATGGGCTAGTCTTGCAACCCGATGCCGCGCCGGCGCCACCGGCTTCGCTTCAACTGCCGGCCTCGTCTTGACTCTTGCCAGGCGTGTTTATTAATAAACAAGCGGCAAGAAATTGCCCATGTACACGCATACCATCCATGCCCATGCAAACATGCGCACGCACATGCGTCAACCGTTGCTTACCTACTCCGTCGGGCCACATTTCTACGGACAACGTACGAGCGAGCGTCCATGTCCTCCGTACCGAGAGCCAATCCGGAGCACGTACGCAGTGCGGGCGAGTCAGGGTCCATGGCCGGCGCAGAGTTGGCGCCCTCACCCAAGCACTTGATTGGCCAGACAACCGGGTCTCCAGCCCTTGCGGCCGATGGGCCAGTTGCCGGGCAGAGCTGGCATGGGAACTGGGACATGGCTGGCTCGGAGCCGCCAGGCTACGTACTTCTTCCAAGCTGCCGCACGCCACCCGCCCCGTTTCGACGTTTCAAAGCACCGCCGCGCACGCTGCTCCGCTCCGAACCCACCGGCCAGTGACTTATCCTGCATCAGCCATCAGTCGGTCAATCAATCAGTCAATCAGTCAATTAATCGATTGCTCCATCAATTAATTCGTTCCCGGTCTCGTCTAGTCCAGCCAATTTGACACCTGCTTCCGTCCACATCCGAGCCTTGAAACGGCGGCGTTTCAATGCCCAGCGCCTCCTCCCCCCCGGGGCGGGTTCCCAGAATGAGCCAAAACAAAACGCCAGACGCGAGTCGTACGGAGCATGTCGTATGTAAAGTCGCCCGGCAATGTCTGTGGCACATGGCACGTAGATGGCAGAGTGCGTCCGGCGAGCCCCATCGCATGGCGCCGTCGTGCCTTGGACGGCCAAGCCTGCGTGTGTAGCAGCCAGCCAGCAACATCCGACTCGGTGCCTGTACGATTCCCATGCCGTGCTCGCGCTCGCCCGACATCGCCAACTCGGCGCTGCCAATAGCCATCTGCCCATCCATCTACGCCGTATCGGCTCCCTGCCCAGGTAGGCAAGTATCTTCCCAGACTTGCCTCAGTGGAGAGCTACCCCCCTCCCCCGGGGCCATCATGAACCGGGGCTCTCTTAACATACAAAGGGGCTGTGCTATTCGTGCTACCAACTCTATCTATTCGTGCTACCGCCCCACCCCAATTTTAGGCCTACACCCTGACCCGCCACGCCCCGCTATATAATTTTACATACATTGCCCTAGCAACTACAGAGTCTTACGAAAATGCTCTATAACAACAAAAAAAATAGAGTGTAGCTGCCTAAGCGGCCTTTTTGCAACTCTATAATAATATTGCTAAATTGTATAATATTAAGCTTAATTTTAAACTCTATAATTACGCTAAAATACTGCTTTTCTTATATCTTTAATAGATAATACTTATCTACCTAAATTTATAAGTTTTAATGTCTTCCCTAAAGTACAGCTTAAACCCTCTTTTAATAACTCTAAGCTGCTGCTTAATAATAAAGATTCTAGCTGCTTAATTTCTAAAATACTACTACTAAGAGCTTATAGCAACTTTAATTACCTTTTTAACAATTTATAGAATTAGAGTAAAGCAAATAGTACTGCCTTTATTAAAAGCTCTATAACTAAGTTTATTAAAGTTAGCAGAAAGCAGTAGCCTTAGTATAGTAGCTTTTTATGCTATTATAGCTTTAGAAGAATATTTTAAGCAAGTAGAATTTAATAAGCTGCTACTAAAAAGAATAACTATAAGTTTAAGCTTTAGCTAGTAACTATAATAGTTAATATAAATTAAGTTTAGACTTATAAAGTAATATATTATTAGTATAATTATAGTTAATTTCTTAACCTATTAGCTAAGCTAATATATTAAAGGTTTATAGTTACTTAAATAGAGCACTTTATAAACTTTATATAACACTAAGCTCTTCTAGTTTGTAAGATAAGTAATATTATTTATAATACAGTAGAAAGAGAAGAAATAGAGGTTTATTTTTGCTGTAAAGACCTCTACAACTAAGTCGCAAAAGCTTATACAAAGAAGCTTAATAAATTTTCTTTAATATAATAAGTTGTTAAGCTTCTTAAAGAGTAAGATTTACTATATATTATTAAATATAATAATAAGAGCTATTTAGAATTAGTTGTTTAGACTTATAAGTTCTGCATTAATTAATAGAAAGTTTTCCCTTAAGTTCTCTATATAGATAATACTTATAAGACTAACTGCTATAAATTACACCTATTCTAGGTAATTACTATTATAGACTAGAACTCTAGCGCAAATATTATATTTGCCTTTATAATAAAAGAGGATAAACCTGCCTTTTAATAGATTTTACTAGGCCTTAATTAAATATAAAATTAACATAAAATTAAGGCGCCTAAAGTTGTTATAACTAACTTTAATAAAGCACTTAAAAACGCTCTATAAGTTGTTTTCCCTAAGATATAGTAATAGATATATATTTAGTATATATTTATAAATATAAAGGTAAAAACCCTCTTCTATTAAAAACCTTCTAATAATAATAATAATAATAATAACCTAGAAGTTAAGGCGTTTAATAAATGCCTAAATAGCCTTACTTTAGTAGTTAAATTACTTATCTATACATAAGAAATTAAAGCATTTAACTCTATATAGAACTAGATAAAGAATATATATAGTTTACAGCAATAAGGCATTCTTAATTACATTAAGAATACTTATTATAGTTAGCATAAGTAGTAGGCTTATTATTATACTTAATTTTATTAGAATTTTAAGTATACAACTATAAGTCTAATTAAAGCAGCATATTATAATACAAAATTCTATATATATATTAGTAATAGCAATCTATTTATGCTCTTTTAATTAATTCAGCAGATAATTCTTAAAAAAAATTATAAACATTCTTAAAAAGCAGCTATAATAGAGCTTTAGCAGCAAAATATATATAGGCATAGCAAATAGCTTAGTAATTTACCTATATAAATATTCTATAAGGCTGTTAATCTCTTAGCCTGCTAGTATAAGCTTGCAGAAGCTAATTATTATAAAGGTAAATAGCTTTAACTTTATAAGGGAAATTGCTCTTTTACACACTAATTTATGCTGCTTTATATATATATTATTCTATTAAAGCTATAAGTATAATAGCTCTTAAAAAGAAGCAATATTTCTTATTATTAGTAGCTTATAAAGCTGCTAGTAAGTCTTAGTTTTAATCTCTATTAATTTATTATAGAAAATATACTTAATATTAACTTATAGACTTCTAACGCTCTATATCTTTAAATTTATTATTCTTATAGAATTAATTACAAAAAATGCTGCCTACTGCTCTTAAATATATAACACTAAAATTCTAATAATAATAGCAGTTAATAGCTAAGTTAAAGGCCTTAATTAGGCTCTTAAGGTTGCTAACAAACTAATTTAAGTATATAATATATAGCAATATAAAACAAATTAGTTAAATAATTTAAGACGCAACAATAAAGAAGACTTACAATATAGTTAAGGCAGTAATTAATAAATGCTATAAATAATATATAACCTTAATTAACAAGTAGACAAGCTATAAAGCAAGCAGTAGTATTAGGGTTGCTGTAGATTTAATAGATAACCCCTTAGGAGCCTAGATAGCGCTCTTAGAGGCAGCAGAATAATTAACAGCCTAGGCAGCAGAATAATTACAGCCTATAATGTATATACATTTATTAAAAACACTAGAAATTGCGTTTTTAAGCAATTTAAGCGCTGCTAGCGCTTGCCTAGGCTTGCGTTATTAAAAAAATAATAGATTTAATTTAAACACTAATTAAATTTCTAAAAAGCAGGCGCAACTATATAGGTGTATGTAAAAATGTATAGTAGGGTGTAGGCAGTTAGTCACTAGGCTAAATCAAGCTGCAGTAGCACGAATAGATAGGGTTGGTAGCACGAATAGCACGACCCTATACAAAGTGCTGCATGCGTGTACTTGCTTGCCGTAGATGGCAAGTCCTTGATTTGCGCCTATGTACGGCCCGTCCATCATCGCCTCATGCTTCTCACGACGTTCTGCCGCGCCTACCGCGACGCGACGGGCAGCATCGTCATCAAACTTGCCGGGACCACGCCACGTCGAACCAAACTCGTCAGAGGGGTGTGTCTGCATTGCCTAGTACTCGTGGTGCAGTGTCTGGCAGGCTGCTCGTGTGTGCTGGCGATCAACTAAAACGACTCTTGTCCGAACTGGTGCTCAATCATGATAACCCTCTACCCACGAGTCCGGGACTGCGTGGCATGATTTTTGTCCATGTCGCCCCTTCCGACTCCGCCCGAAACCACGGCCTCCTACTACAACATGGAGGAGGAACGATGAGATCAACATAAAAATAGAACCAAAAGTAGTGCCACCTTTTTGCTGCCACGCTTCAACTGGTTACTCCGTCCGTACATTGCACGCATCTTCATGCAAAGGAACCCTGCGAGACCCGAGTTGAGCCCCGCACCATGTCGCCAACTTGCAGAACGGGCTGTTGGCTTCAGGTGGCCAAATGTTCCGCGATGCCCATGCTGGCGGGCCTCACGGCTCAGCCTGCCAGACGAAACATGACCGGCGGCAGATGGACAACATCCTCCCTTTTCCTGCAAGCGCCGGAAACGCCCTTGAGAACAAGCCATCCAGCCAGCAGACGATGGAGCCACCTCCCAACTGAAGATTCAAGCAGCGTGGGTTTTTCATCTGCAAGCCGCCACATCCACGTCTCGTTGACAATCACAATTCTGCCTCCGGCAGGTCCCTTGTCATCGGAGTTCATGGACGGAGAGGCGGGCTCTATAGCAGCCAGGATCAGACCACGAACCCTGGGGCCTCTGTAAGACGGGGGGGTGTCAATGAGAAGCTCTACCCGCTCCGATCCCGTCGCCTGGTCCGTCGTGCTACAAGACACCTTGTATACACCGTTCACGACGTCGCCTGGTTTGAAGCACAGATTGTCAATCCATGCTGTGTCGAAGCTGCGTCTGTTCAGTGGCTCTGACAACGCGCCACGGATAATGGCTGCTTGAGGAGTCCAGCGAAAAGCCTTTTGCATACTTCTTGACACTTCTTGTAGCAGCCTTGAAGGCTGAGCTGCAGGTTTTGATGACAGTGGCGATTCCTTCGGTGGATAGTCGAGGCATGGCAACGGTAAGGGCTCGGAGACGACTCTTTCATACGTCACAACCCACTGGCACCGATTCTCTCCAACTTCGGCGGCGAGGCTGTGCGGTTCCGCTGGATGCGACGTCTTTGAGGCGGATGTGGCTTGGCGAGGCACAAGCGTGCCAGATACCGAGGTGGTGGTGCGATACACAGTCCAGCCCGTGTACAGGACATAGCCCGCGGGTATGACGACGGGTAGCAAGGCCAGCGTTGTCATTGCCGTTGGACGATGAGCGGACAAGATCCCGAGTGAGACCCCCCACGAGGGCATTGTGATTGCCGCGCTGCGGGAACCTGACGGCAGAGACTTGGTGGAGCCAAACTACCGGGTGGTGACGGACGAATTTCTTATCTCTTGGAAGATGGCGACTCATGTCAGACGCCAGGTAGATCGAAGTTTGAATCCGGGCGGCGCATGCGGCACAAGTCGGTAAATCGTGGTTCGTGGCTTGAATGTGACAAACGGATCAGCGATGGTAAGTCATACAGGGTAGGGTAGTGGTTGGTCGCTTGAACACCTCGGCGGTCCGTACTGCGGCTGATGAGAGATCAATGCATGTTGGGAAGCCAGGAAAATATAACTAGATGCTGACAGGCAGAGGCAGTCAAGCTGACTGAATGTCTGCCTGAGGCCGTTTCGACGATAACGCAGCGTGGCAGGGGCGACCGATGTCTGTTCGGCGAATGCCGCATTATAGAAAGGTTATTCACATGAACGAGCGACTCGGCTGTCTGCCGGTTATCACCACGTCACCAAATGAAACAACGCCGTCAACGATGCAAGTCGGCTGCAGGCCTTTCTTTTTCCCGGTCCCTCGCCCGCACTCGAGTCGGAACAACACCCCACACGTGCCGAGCAACCTTTCCGAGGGCGCCGGTCTGGTGTCGTCTGCCGGTAACGTGATTCCCACCCAGGCAGAATCCACTGGCCACCAACACCCACAAACCAAGGCAAACAAACGACCTCGCGGATACCGATACCGATACCGGCACCGGCAAGGAAATATTCGACCTTCTTTCCCGGCCCTTTGCACTGCAACAATGCAGAAGCTAGCTCTCCGCGGACCAGTTCACTGTCCTCGAAGCGACAACGACACTCGACTGCGACGTTCACTCGCTTCGACTGCACGCTCTCGTCATCGACGTGACATTGACCATGAGCGAGCGGCTGACTTGGCGGACAAGGTGGCACTGCGGTCGGAACTTGCAAATGAGGACTGGGCATTCATGCGCACTCCTGGCGAGTCTGAAAGAACACACACCTGGCGACCAACATACGAGGCTGCTACCGCTGGGCAAACGCCATGCTCAATGAGTTTTTGAAATCCGGGTGCCGGGGTGACTGAAATAGAGTTGCAGTGGATTCCTGTTTTTTTTTGCATGGTCCGGTGGGTTGGTTGGTTACATTTGGATATGTGATATGTGCGTGCTCATCACCCCCTCCCTTCCCTTGACCATTCCTTGGCGCCCAGTCCATTTTGCTATAAGACACTGGCGGTCCGGGATCTAACTTACGTGGCGGCTTTTGTTGTCTTTAGGTCGATACTACTCTGATTTGCACCATTGCCTCATCTTATCGCAAAACAAGGAGGAAAGGGTTGTCGCCGAGTACGGAAGGGCAATCCACCACCGTCGTCATGGATGGGTGCAACAGCGACAAGGAGAAGGGTGAGCGTATTCGCCACCTCGAAAGAAATGGAGCCGCCAACTTGACGCTATGGCAATCCGTCAAGCGTTACCGGAATGTTGTCTGGTGTTGTCTTGGCTTGACTACGACCATTTTGTTGTATGGCTACGACTACGTCATTGTTGGCGCAACGTCTGCCATGCCTAGCTTCCAGTACGTTTTGCAAACCTTGGCTTTCCGAGACCTGCTTGTTGGCTACCGTGCCACCGAGCGAATACCTGAATAACTCATGTCAATAGACGGGACTTTGGATCCAAGCATGAGGGACGTTGGATCATCCCCTCGTTATGGTTAGGTCTGTGGACATTGGCGAGTCCTGGAGGATCCATCCTCGGTGCCATTGCCGGCGGTCAAATTCAAGATTGGGTGGGACGCAGGGCATCAATCGCTATCGGATGCTTCTTGTCCGCGATTGCAGTTGCTATATGCTATGTGTCCTACATGCCGGCCGACATTGGCACACGACGCGGCGTCTTCTTGGGGGGCAAAACATTTCAAGGGCTTACGATTGGCATTGTCACGACAACAACACATACTTACATGTCCGAGATTCTGCCCCCGAGTCTTCGGGGTCCGGTCTTGGCATTCTTCCCCATGTTCACTCTGCTAGGTCAACTGATTGGGGCCTCCGTTATTTTCGGACTCATGGCAATGCCCGACGGATACGCTGTCGGCTTTGCATCACAGTGGCCGTTTTCCGCGGTGCCCGTGATTGTGGCGCTTTGCATCCCTGAGAGTCCTACATATCTTGTTCGCAAGAACAAGATGGCTCAGGCACACAAATCACAGAAGCGACTAGAGCCCCGGGACGGAGATGCCCATGAAACTGTCGAGACAATTCGACGGAATATCGAGCACGAACGGGAGATGACCCAGGCAACATATATTGACTGCTTCAAGCGTGCCAACCTGAGGAGGACCCTGATTATCATGCTGTCTGGAGCGTTGCCACAAATCTTGGGCCTCGCCTTGCTGGCAAAAGCTAGTTATTTCTTTCAAGTGATTGGCGTGTCAGCAGACGTGAGTGTCATCCTGTTGATCGTCGGCATTGTTTGTGGTCTCCTGGCCAACATGGCCAGTATATGGGTTTTGCACCGGGTAGGGCGGCGGCGCCTCCTTGTTTGGGGTCTATTTGGAGTCTCCTTTTTATGGCTTACCATGGGCATTTCCGGCATATGGGACAAGAAACCGACGACCGAGTTCGTACTTGCCACCCATGTCCAAAAATCACCTCGTGGTTGACAGTGCTGACGCGCCGTATCTAGATATACCACGTTCAGCATGATAGCCATCGTGGTTGTAGCAGGCATCAGCGCATGGCCGGCCTCGTATGCGGTTGGTGCAGAAACGTCATGTCTACACTTGCGAGCAAAATCGCAGGGCATCGGGTGGCTGACGACGGGTGCAGCGGCCTCGGTCTCTGGCTTCGTTTCGCCTTACCTGTACAACGCCGACGCAGCCAACCTGAGATCCAAGGTAGGCTTCGTCTACGCCGGTCTGTGCGCTGTTGCAGGCGTCGTATCGTACTTTCACGTTCCGGAAATGAAGGGTCGCACACCAGCGGAAATTGACGGAATGTTTGAAGCAATGCTTCCGGCTCGGGACTTTGGAACATGGACTGCGTCACCCTCGACTAGTTCGCGGACTGCGGACGAAAGCACGGGAGAAAGAAGCATAACTTGACATGATGGAAGAAGTAGGTGATGAAATTGAAAGTCATGATGCAAAGGCTGTCCAAGAAAATGGGTGTGGTGATTATTTGATACCTAGCTGAACTTTGAAGCAATACTATTTTGCCACGAGTGCTTCGGCAACACGCTGGGCGAGATGCATGAAAGGCCAGGCCTTGTCTTCCCTCGTGCCCCGGGCCCCGACAGGAACGAACACCAGTCTCCTGTCCTTGCTGGTAGGTTGGAAAGGACACCGTGGCAGCGGTCGTCGTCGACGCAGAGGTCGGAAGGGACGAGACTTGGGAAGGCCCTCTACGCCAAGCCAGCCACGAGGCTTGGCAGGCCAAGTCGCGATGCAGACCGAATGCGCGGCGCACAGCTTGGGATGGTATATGGCATGGCGCGGATCGATTGGCGAGCCCGTCTTCTGCCGAGCAGCAGTCTGTCTGTTTGGAAAGGCAGCCAGCCTGTGGGTGGGCGACGTGTCGCGGCTACGCCAATGCCAAGGTGTGTAACACTGCTAAACGGAAGAATGACTCGGCCAAGAAGGGGGAGAAGAAAGGACTCGGCAGGTTGTTGATGCGAGCACTCGCTGGCCGCGACAACGACTCGAACACGTCTTCCCCACCGCGGACTAATGCGTCGGTGATAACGGGCTCTCGGGCTGTCGGGCTCCCACGACAAGCACGCAGGATATGCGGATTCGCGTGCTTTCGATTGGCTGTGTCGACTCTCGACTCTCGACCTGTCGACTCTGGAACCTCGAGCCAGCGAGATGTAGCTCACCTGTTCAAACTGGCTTAACTTGATTCTGCCTCGGTGTGGGCTTCTGGAACCCCGAAGCGCCGGCAGGAGGTTAGACCAGACAGCTCAGGGCCATGCTGCCACTTGCCTGCCACTTGCCTGCCACTTGCCTGCCACTTGCAAGTTGGACGCGCCAGCCACCTGGCAGTTGCCGAGTTGGGCAAGTTGCCAGTGCAGATGCGGGAACAGCAGCCGCCGCGCCACAGACGCCACCAGACGCCACCAGCTGCTCTGCCCGGCAAGGAAGCCGAGACCCAACATGCGGGGGCCAGGGCGGGGGCCAGGGCGCGGTGTTGAACGTCGCCGCGGCTGCCTCCTTGGGGCGTCGTCTGATATACTCGACTCTTTACTTTGCCAAACCTCCTTGGAACATGGCATCCCTTGCCCCGGAGGCAGGGCGAGACGAGCAAACGTAAAAGGGGTCTCCACGCGACGACACTGTCCCCCTTGTTCCCCCTCGTCCCCCCTCGGCGCCAAGGTACTCACTCGGCTTCACGTGTCTGCCGCTTGGCTGAGGAGAGGACATTCATATACGTGCCTTGCGAGTTGGTTGGCAACTCGGCCACTCGGCGCATGCGACCACAAACTGCAAAAGTCTGGCCGTACAAAGACTCGCAAGTCGGCCCTTCCCGGCAAATGGTGCCCAGATCGAGGTCTCGTGGTCGACTACTAGCGCCCAATTCTCCATCTCCAGGCCGTCGCTGGTTGACGTGCTTTTTTGCGCGCACCGACTCTTCACGCTATGCCATTGACTCTGAGCGTCCGGACGCCCGAGATCACGCAACACTTGGTGCGCTGCGGCTTCTCTGATCTGGCCTGATGGATGATGGGAGGCGCTTGAAGTCTTGCCATGCTCATGCTTGCTGTATTGATCCCACGCGTTGGCATCGTGGCACTTGGGTGCGTGTATCGTCCGTCGTCCGTGTCGTGGATTGATGATGTATGCGAGTCGACGGGAGAGTTGGCTGAACTCCTCCCCAGTATCCCCTTCTCCTCCGGTCTTGACTGCGAACACGAGCCTTTCGCATAAATTCACAGCCGGACATGTAGTTGGTTGGAATCCAGATCCAGAGCCACGACGCAACTGTCCGCCAGCATCTCCCCCGCGTTGCAAGTTGTTTCAATTGTTTCAACCCCGCGAACAGACATGACTGGCTGCTCTAAATCGACATCCACGGCCCCCTTCGAGGTGGAATAGTGCCACCACTCCAATCTTGCCCCCGGTATTTTGCGACTTGTATCCGTGGAAACCCACCTCGGACCATCCCAGAGCAAGATGGCATCCCCGGTGGGGAGCTCATGCATGAAAAGGAGGCTGGCTTCTCTGGCCACGACAACAAAGGAGCGACGACATGCCCGTCGAATACTGCGAGAAATCTTTCGTATTGGCCAGAATGGAATGGAACGCGGCCTTGGTGAATTTTCCAACACAACCATCTGCTCGCTACTGCGCTCTGCCACAGCGTCCCCGAGACTCCCCGGCCCGCAACGATTGTGCCAACCTTTTAGTCTCGGCCTCAACGCGGTACTTCTTGGGCATCCTAGACAGAGACCTTGTCTTTTCACCCGCTTCGCAAACGGGGCTGGGTGCTTCCTTTGGGAAGTTGGATGGACAGCCGTCGCCGGCGGAGGAAAATCCTGCAAGTCCGGACGGGCAGACACGCCGCTGACGACTAGCATGGCAGACAGGCCTCGTGATGCTGTCGAGCCTGTATTTCTCATTATGTAGAGAGTCGAGATATCAGATCAGTTACCGCCTGGCTACCAATTAGACGTCGTGCAATACTTGCAGCGCTTGGCCCGATCGGCGATGCGGTATGATAAGCCCGCCTTTGGTTTTCAGTCTTTTCTTTTTCCCCCTGCCTTCTCGACGAATACCGTCTGTACGGAACAAGGTTTAAATGATGGATGGCACAGCTTCTGTCTAAGGCGTGTGAACTATATATACAACACCCACCTTCTTGCTCCTCTACTCCGTGAGAGACACACAGCAAGCCTGACATATTATCCCCCCTTTTTTCAAAAAAAAAAAAATAAAAAGAAAAAAAAGTCCTCAACTGCCGGTCGCTGCTCAGCCTCTCATAATGGTGTCGATCCGTTTCACAACGGGCGTCGTCGTTGTCTCGGCCCTTTCCGCAGGCTGTCTCGCCCAGGTCTTCACGGTCAACTGCGCGCCGCTGACCTTTTTCCGCGGAGATCCCATCGTCTCCCCCGGCGTCATCTCTTCCCACGTACACGCCGTCGTTGGCGGGACCAGATTTGCTCTCGACTTGTCCAACGAGCAGGCTCGCAACGCCAAAGCCACGACCTGCGACAAGTCTCTCGACAAGAGCAACTACTGGCAGCCGCAGCTGTACCACCAGAGGCACGATGGGAAGTTTGAGCTGGTTGAGATGCAGGGCATTGTGAGTTTTTGTTGTCGTTGTCGTTGTCGTTGTGTTTCCTCCTTTTGGTTGGCACGCCGCCACCACCCATCAAAACAACTGCTTTGCTTTGCTTTGCTTTGCGTTGCTGTGCTGGTGCTCGCGCAACTCTGACATGGACATGGGGACGGGCAAGGCTGCCTACTACATCGATCGAGCTTGCGACTATGCGCCCGGCAGAAGCAACTGCAAAAACTCACCACACGCCAGGGCGCCCCCCAAGGGGCTGCGCATGGTTGTCGGAGATCCAGCTCTGAGGTGAGGTACACGGTCTCAGAGGCGAATGGCGCAGCCGTCGCCCCCTCTTGTCTCGGCAGGGCTGACAGCGTCGGGAGCAGATCGTACAACCACTCGAACCCGGAGCAGAGGGCCATCTCGCACGTCTGCTTGGGCGCGAATGGCGGCGACACGCCCTACCTGCCCGCCCGGCAGTGCGATCGCATGAGGGCCGAGACCTTCTTCCCTTCCTGCTGGGACGGCAAGAACCTGGACAGCCGCGACCACAAGAGCCATGTACGTGGGCTGATCTCGTGCCATCCTGTCTGTTTGCGTCTCGCAGAGGACTAGACTAACTCGCGGCCCCCGTGCACGGCTAGATGGCCTTCCCGGCCATCGGCGACTACAACACGGGCGTATGCCCGCAATCCCACCCCGTGGCCGTGCTCTCGGTGTTCTTCGAGTTCTTCTACAACACGGGAGCGGTCAAGGACTTCAACCGCTGGGTCTGGGCCATGGGCGACCCCACTGGCTACGGCCTGCACGGCGACTTCCTCAACGGATGGGCGGACCAGGGCGCGCTCGACCGCGCCGTCGAGACTTGTACGGGCCCCAACGGCGTCAACGACGCCCGCTGCAGCCTGAACGTCGGTCCCGACGGGCCCGGCCACTCGCGGCGCCAGCCAGTCGAGGTGTCGCCTCCCCAGGAGGAGGTTGGATTCAACGGTCCTCTGCACAAGTTGCCCGGCGACAACCCGATAACCGGACACCCCGTCCAGTGATGATGATTGATGAGTAGCGAGTGGTGGACTGTAAAAGAACGGGAGAGACAGCGTCGTCTCTAGATTGTACATAGCCAGCAGCAGGCTGAATACAGCATGGCCAACGCTCTTTCGAAATGAACATGCCCCGCCCACGATCCGTCCGTTGCCTGTCACGCCGCCCGCTTGCCCGCTCTGCCTACAACTTGGTGGCTGCCCAAAACTGCGCACTGTACGCACTCCGGGTCAGGGCCACGCGGTCGAAGCTGTAGACGGCCTCCATGCTCCTCACTGTGGGCTCTGAAAACGTCGGGTCTCCGCAGACCTCGGCCGTCTCGAGGAACCGGAAGCCCATCTCCCTCGTGACGGCGAGGATGTCCTCCAAGCTGAGCTGGACGAGGGGGCCGGTGCCGTACAGCAGCGGCCCCAGGTTTATCCACACGCCGCCCTTGTCGAGGACGCGGCTGATGGTGTCAAAGTACGACATGAGGTTCCTCGCCGTATCGATGAAGAAGTAGGTCACGACGGCGTCGTAGTGCGCCGACTGGTTCGTGAAGGCCGTGGTGAAGTCGCCTTCTACCGCGAGAACGGTGCCCGGGCGGACGGCAACGTCCGGGAAGCGCACGGCGCGGTTCATGTCGTCGTCCGATACGTGATGGGACCAGCTGTCGACAAAGGGGTGGAAGGAGTGCGACAGCGCGGACCCCCGGGCCTCGAGGAACCTGTACACGGCGTTCATGTACATGGACCACTCGTTGACGGTGACTTGGAACCCTGTGTTGTGCTGGTTCAGTAAAACGGCCCGCCAGGAAGACGCAAAAGGCGAGCGGAGGTCGGGGCGACTTACCGCCAAGCTGGGCAATGTGGTGGCCGAGCCGGCCGAGCCCGGATCCCGGGAGCAAGAGGCGCACGTGGTCCCGGAGGGGGTTGCGGTTGCGGTCGGGAAACAGCCGGTCGAGGGTGCTGACGAGGCAGGCAAAGGTTGCGTTTCTCTCGTTGTCGCCTTCCCCCGTCCAGTCGCGGACGATGTGCTTGAGCGACTGGGAGACGGACGTCTTGTCGGCGCGCCGGCCCTTGGCCTCGCTGTCGTGCACGTGGCGCCTGAGCTCGTCCGCGCCAATGTTGTAGAATGCCAGGGCGGCCTGGACGATGTCGTCGCAGACGTGCTGGTTCGCGGCGAGCTTTTGCTCGACCCTCTTGAACTTGGACGAGTAGGCGACGTGCTTTTCTAGAAACTGCTCCGCGTCGACGGCACGGCCACGGTCAACGCGGCTCCCTCCCGCCCCGGCGCGCACGGCCACAGCGGCTGGCTACTCGACTCGATAGGTCTGAGAAGGGGGGGGGGGCGTACCTGCTTCTGGGACGGGGAGGCCTGCCCGTACAGGCCGCGCAGGCGATGGACCTCGGCGCGCTGCTGTTCGTAATACTTGGAGAAGCCGTGGAGGGCGTCGAGGAGCCGGTGGCGCGGGTGGTGAGGCGACCATGTTCCGTGGTCTCGGGCCATTCTTGACAGCAGCCTCTCCTTTTCGACGTCATGTCGCGATGCTGCGGCGACGGGAGATGCCAGCTCGAGCGTGATGTAGACGCGGCGTATCTCGACTACGGATTGCTGCGGCTGGACGGAGACCAAGGGGTCAGTGTCGGGTGCGCGGTGGCCAGGACGGCTCGGTAGAGCTCAAGGATGAAAGGCAGATTCGACAAACCCCATGGTCTTGGGCTCCCGATGAGGCGTTCCGCGTCTCGGGGCTTTGGAGAGGTTTCTCATCTCGCGCTGCCGGGGCCGTCGTGTGCGTGCCGCCCAACAATGCAAACGCGAGCGGGCTCAACACCACCAGGTGCCTTGGTATGGACGTCCTCATGGCGAGTGCGGTTTGTCAATCAGGCTTGACGCGCAGCGGAAACAAGGTGAAAATTTGAATCTGCGCCTGATTCTTGGCCACATCGTACGTACATGGTAACATGGGCAGCGCGTGAGAGGGGAGGACCCTGATGGTTCGATATTGGCTTGGCTTGACATTTGTGCCTGAGGCCGTTGCAATTGCGGCCGTCCGGGTTGCCATGCCCGGAGCAAATAAGCTCAAGATGCGACTGTAAAGCATTTGGTCCATGTCCAGACTCCAGATCATAGACGGATGGCTGCAAGGCCGTGTCCACGGCGTCAAGATGACGAGACACGTATTGGCACCTCGACACCTTCCCGGATAGGCAAGCCAGGCCTCTCTCTCTCTCTCTCTCTCTCTCTCTCTCTCTCTCTCTGTGATGGATGGACACAGATCGGTGGCGTCTCCCGTTACGTCGCGTCAAATCCAACTGCCGTCGGAGCAACAGTCATCCGCCGCCAGTGAACATGGAGAACCAGACGGTCTTGCATCTATGCTTGCCTCGTTCATGCACCATGCCATCATTCATTTCCCGCCATCACTCGTGCGTCGTGCCTCTCCCTACGTCATTGCCCCTCAAGGGAAGCTTGAAACCGTCTCCTTCAGAAACACACACATCCAATCCAGGCCATGGCTCGACCTTGCTGACCTGACTGTTGCTGCATAAGTGTTGTCCGTGGGAGTGGCAGCATGCACGGATGGAGAAACGAACCATCTGGTCCGAAATGTTGAAGCTGAGAGAACAGACGCGCACATGCTCGACGCCGCAACCCTGCATCCGATCCTACAGTGGTGCTTCTTGGCGACATCAAGACATGAAGCGTCCAGGGCCGGCGTGGAACTGTATAACAAACGGCATGTTCGCCCTCATGGTAGAAGCCGTGATTGAACAAACACTTCAGACTCGTACTTGAAGGATTGGCTGCCTATCTGGCCGTGGCCCAAAACATCAACACGGTAAAGGAGCTGAAGGCCAGAATCCTTGCTCTGGGGACCAAGGACGAGGCGAGCGGTGTTGCGGACAACACTGTGAACCTAGTCGCTTACAACGGCAACGAACAGGACCTCAGCCAGACCGCAGTAATGTAGGGCACGTTGGGAATTGCCAACGTACCTGCCGGCTGTAAGATTTCAAAGCATCCTAGCTAGAAATTAAAATTGCACAATTTGATCCGGATAGCAAGCGGCCGACTGGACATGTGTCGGCATAGTCTTGTGTCTGTTATTTCCGTCAGCACACCATCCAGCACGCATGGCCACGGGAGATAGCCGCTTGACTTTCATCCCTCCTTGACCCTGTAGCCCTTGGAGTCTTTTCGTTGAAATTGCCTAACCGCAACGGAGCAATTCGTCGGCTGTGAGCTCGCTCGCGCAGTGCCGATAGCGACAACGGTTGGTGCCGACGCCTGCATCCTCGATGAGAGTAATTGGAACTTGGGGTTCCCCCTTACGCGTACTAATGTGCGTCCGAGTCATATAATTCGTGCACACTCGACAAGTGGTAGTATCGGGGAGGAGAGATCAACACCAAATGGATGCCATCGAGCTAAGGTAATGGCACGGCCGAATGGCGTGATCCAGTCCTACAACCAGAGCTGTAGGCCACGACGGCCACTACACCATGGGCGACGCAACTGTGAGGACAAGGTTATAATACACAAAGAGTCCGCTACTGCTCTTTGGGTTGGCTTACAAAGAGAAAAAGTGAGACATTTGGCTGGCTGGACGACTTGTATTGCCTGCAGCTAGACGGAGGGAAGAGGGGAATAGGGCCATCGGTTGCTGAACAGGACGGCTTGGGGTGCATGTCGCAATTTTGGGTTCGATGGAGTGAATGCTTGTCTGCGCAGATCGAAATGTGCTTTAGATGGAAATCCTTGCGCCATAAGCCGCGACGTTTGGTTTCTGCCCATCATTTACCCGGCTTTGTTGTCGTTGATGGAAACGGCCAAAACATAAATAGTCCAACGCACGACGGTGGGTTAGCATCGCTGGAAAAGGATGCTTCCGGCAGTACATACTTCGCTGCGAGTCGTCGGATGAGCCATCGTTGCCCAGCTAGCCGCCATTCTCAGCTATGAAGTTTGCCTCTGCAACGGCTCTTGTAGCCTCGTGCCTTGCAGCGTCGGCCCTGGCTGCCCCTCGACTGGAGAACAGAGATGGTGACAAGTTTGACCAGGGTCTCCCAATTAGCAAAACTGGAAAGGGAGGTCCTATCAACGGTACGTCTGTCGAGAATTGCCGAAATCGTACTTCCCCGTCAAGCTAATCGTGTCCCAGGCGGCACCAACCACGAGCTTGACTTGCAGAACCCCGACAACCTGGGCCGACAGTCGACAGATAACGGAGTCGTTCCGAACCTGAAGTGGAGCTTTTCTGACTCGAAGACGAGAATCCTCAAGGGCGGTTGGGTCCGAGAGCAGGTTGTTCAGGATCTACCTCAAAGTCACGACATCTCTGGCGCGCAGCAGCACTTGAAGAAGGGCGCAATCAGGGAACTCCACTGGCACCGAGTGGTAAGTCAGCTGCCCGTCGACTGAGCTCAAAGATACTATGCTTACAAAATGTAAAAACCTTAGGCTGAGTGGGGATTCGTGTACAAGGGACGCATCACCGTCTCTGCTGTCGACGAGGACGGCAAATATCAGGCCGAAGAGCTGAACTACGGTGACGTCTGGTACTTTCCCAAGGGTGTTGCCCACACGGTTCAGGGCCTTGAAGACGACAACGAGTTCCTCCTTGTGTTTGACGAGGGCGACTTTGACAAGGTCGGGTATGTCAGTGTCGGACACACACATGACTGACACACTTGGGCTGAGTTGACTCTAGAACCACGTTCAATATCGACGACTGGCTGGCCCATACCCCCAAGGATATTCTGGCCCGAAACTTTGGAGTTCCCGAATCCGTCTTCGACAGACTCCCCTCACCCAATCCATACATACTGAACGCCACCGTCAGCGAGAAGAATGTCACCGGCGCCGTGACCCCGGTTGCATCGGGGAATAGCTCCTTCGTTTACCGTACCTTCCAGCACACTGCTGAGAAAGTTGGCGGCCAGGGAGGCGAGCTGCGCAAGATCGACTCGACCAATTTCCCCATTTCCAAGACCATCGCAGCTGCACTTGTGACCCTGAAGCCCGGTGGCCTGCGGGAGCTTCACTGGCACCCAAACGTATGAGCGACCAGACCCTTTGACCAAATACCACGGCTCATAAAGACGGGCTGCTGACACTCTTGGCTATAGGCTGAAGAATGGCTATACTTCCACCGGGGGACAGGCAGAGCCACGGCATTCATTGGCAGCGCGAATGCCAGAACATTTGATTTCAGAGCCGGTGATACTGCCGTCTTTCCCGACAATGCCGGGTAAGGGTTTCCCACTCTGGAGGGTGTATCCTGTTGAGGAGCATCGATGGGTTGACGAGAATCTCAGGCACTACATCGAAAACACGTCCAAGACAGAGGATCTGATTTGGATTGAGATTTACAAATCTGATCGCGTCGCCGACATTCCCCTCACCCAGTGGCTCGCTCTGACACCTCCGGATATTGTGTCCCAGGCGCTGAAGGTCCCGATTGAGTTTGTCGAGAAACTCAAGAAGGAGAAGCAAACCTTTGTCGAGTAGATGGTTGGTCACCCATCCATCGCGGAAACTGTGTACACGGTTTACTGTATGTTCGTGGCGGGAATTTTGGTGTAGGGCAGCGGCGATTCCACAGAGCTGTACTCCGTACCTTTGCAATTATTGGCAGGTCGAGAAATGCGTCAACGGCGCCAATGGAGTCCCGGGACCAGGAATATAGTCGTAATTGGAAGTCGTAATGCTGAATGTCCTGCGTAGTGAGTTTTGGATGATCATTGATAGTTACTCATCGGGTCGGTGCCGTGAGACTTGCGATCGTTGTCAAAGAACAAGTGACCAGTTGCACGCGCAGACGGGAAGGAAAGGAGATGAGCCGCTGCCATTTAATAATGGGGCAGCCGGTGGACCCACTTTCGCGCTCGAACTTCCTCGAAGCATTTGGAGCGCATTTGACGAGGTAGACAAGGTTACATGTTGTTGCTGTCCAGGCGTCGTCATGGCACAGCATCAAACCAGGACAATGACACCAGTGCGTATCATCAGTTATGATCCAGACGCAACAGTAGCCGGCCAGATATCCCGAGGCACAGCCGATTCTATCTTCACAACCTCGACATGTGGTCCACCTTCAATTCGTCCTCGTTGCCCCGGAACTATGCAAGTTGGTCACCATGTTGGAGGGCCAAGTGCTCCTCGGCCCATAGCCGCTCCTGTGAATCCGGCGTAGAGACGGCAACGAGTTCTGCTCCAAGGGACGGACTGGAAGAAGTTGAGGGCATGTCGTTTGCCCATGCGTCCGAGCCCGGGGACGCCAATCTTGAGCTTTGTCGGAGGCATTGAAGGATGGCTACAAGGGGTTGGAAGGTTTGCTTTTCAGTTGAGCTGCGTGGACGTCAAGGGCAGTGAATTGGAAAGTGAAAGGGGAGCGATTCGTGACGGAAAGCGGTGAGTTTGTGACCATGAGGGTCTTTGCGCAGTCGTTGGGTCTCGATATCGGCTCGATTCCCATTGCGCCCGCACCGACTGTCTCTCTTCTTTATCCACACCCATCCTTCCCACTCGGTGAACTCTTCACAGCCTTGCTCAATAATAAGTTCCCCCGGGATGGTGCTTTGATGAGTCCGATTCATGTCAATGCAATGCAGAAGCATGCAGGAACCCATCCCGCTACGGCTAGTTTGGTTGGGGTAAAAGTGGGGGCGACACGGGGCATCGTGGGGTAGTTATGCCTAGGTACAGTGGGTCTGCGTACTGTCACACGAAAAGTTGGGCGTGGCCCACGCCACACTTTTGTGTGTGGTAGAAGAGGAGGCGCAGCCCCCCCGGGCCGTCGCTGCGGCAGGGGCCGGCCGGCCGCTGCAGCCACCAGTTAGCAGCTGCCCAGCGGCCGTGAATCTTTATACAAGCCGCCGCGGTTCACGGTCGACTATTGTCATTTGCCAGTACGTGCTACTCGTCCATGCGCACCCATTCACGAATGCGCGGGCAGGCCTGGGGGCGGTGCGGTCAAGACTCAACCTCAAGCCCGTTTGACGTCCTCGGCTTGCGTATCCGAACTGGCGGGATTCACGACCAGACTTTTTCCAGAAACAGATCAATCATTCAATGTCTGCAGACGATTTCCCCATGGGGCCCCTCCCAAGTACTGAAGCGACAAGTTTTTTTACCGACCGGGCCTAATCCAGGCTGACGGCTTAGAATCGCCTGTATCATCATCATTGCCGTCGTCATCTTCACCGTCGGCTCGGCCCTTCAAACCGCTTCTGTGGATTGTGCCATGCTCGTGACGGCCCCTTTGATTGGTGGCATCGGCATCGGCATGTACGTGGTTCTCGTCATCTTTCTTCGCCATCTTTCCAGGTCCCTCTCCATCACCCCCGGATGCGATGCACCTACGCTTGTGCCAATCACGCTCGAGGGACAAGGCTGAGCATGGTTGTGCCCCTGTATATTTCCGAAATATCCCCCCGGAGCTTAGTATCGGGCTGGGCATCGTCATTTCCTTTTGGATCACCTATTGAACCCAGCATATCAACTCGCACTGGTCATGGCAACTGCCCTTTTTGCTGCAGATTATTCCCGGCCTGTTCCTTGGGTTCGGCGCTATACCTCTACCGTTTTCTCCAAGATGGCTTGCCTCCAAGGGTCGAGACGACGATGCACTCTTAAACTTGGCCAAGTTGCGATGCCTCCCCACGACAGACCCGTATGTCCAGCGGGAGTGGATGGAGATTATAATCGAGTCGAGGTTCCAAAAGGGCATCCTTGCCGAGCGTCATCCGACTCTCGTCAACGGTGGTGTCGGCCACAAGCTCAAGCTCGGGATTCCAACCTGGCTGGATTGCTTCAAGAAGGGCTGTGGCGCAGAACCCACGTCGGCGCGGATCACATGTTCTTCCAACAGGTTACGACTTGGCCACCCCTTTCCGTCGAATCACGCCTACCGTAGACTGACCCTATCCAGTTCGTTGGCATCAATGCCCTGGTCTACTACTCGCCCACCCTGTTTGGCACCATGGGGCTGGGTCACAACATGCAGCTCATCATGTCGGGCATTCTCAACCTGACGCAGCTCATCGGCGTCATATCCAGCCTGTGGACTCTGGATCGATATGGCCGGCGACAGGTCCTCCTATACGGAAGCGTCGGCATGTTTGTTTCCCACTTCCTTATTGCCATTCTCGTCGGCAGATTCTCCGACGATTGGCCCGCGCACAAAGGCCAAGGCTGGACCAGTGTCGCCTTTCTCCTGCTTTACATGCTCGCCTTCGGAGCCAGCTGGGGCCCTGTCCCCTGGGCCATGCCTTCTGAGATCTTCCCTTCTTCGCTCCGTGCCAAGGGTGTTTCCATCTCCACCTGCTCAAGTAAGTGCGCCGCTGGGCTCTGTCAACTCTCCCCTCACTCTTTCTGACCATTTGACTTACTCGCCGGACACAAAATAGACTGGCTCAACAATTTCATAGTTGTAAGTTGCAAATCCGCAAATTACTGATGAGACTAGGCAGCGCTTTGGGGGAAAAGCTAACCCATTCTAGGGCTTGATCACGCCTCCTTTGGTGCGAAATACCCGATTCGGGGCCTATGTGTTTTTTGCCGTCTTTTGCTTCCTCTCGTTCGCGTGGACCTTTTACTTTGTCCCCGAGACCCAAGGGCAAGACGCTGGAGCAGATGGACGACGTCTTCAAGGACCGCAGCAGCACCGAGGAACTGGAGCGCAAGAATGAACTGATGGCCGACGCCGTCCGAGCGCGAGCCAGCGGGAGCGGCGTTGTGTAGATGAGACGCAGCGCTTTCAGACAAGCTTGGCAACGACTGAAATATTGGTTGGCGTGAAAATTTTCACCGGCCATGCCTTGACCATACTAGTCGCCGTTTTCAACCACCGCATTGGCCAATTTTCTGCCATGTACATGTAAATCACTCTACAACCGTCAAAGTAAATGTGTCACGAGACAGTGTCATGTTTCGCGCACAAGGCTCTGCAGAAACAGTTGAGATATTTTCATCACTCTTCTTCGTCTTGACTACTTTGTTTACTGGATTTGTTCGCACGGCTCAACGAGTGTTTCAAAAGTTGGTTTGACGACGCGAAATCACTCTGCGTTTCGAAAACGAGGGTGGTGCTGCTCGGCGTGTACACACCACGAGCACGCATACAAGTCCCTTAAGCCTTGGTAGCGAGGGGGAGCCGATGGAAGCCGCCGCAGCAAGCAACGTCGCGCTGGAGTTCAACCATGCGCTTCTGGTCGCCAGCCGGGTCGGCGGAGTCGGGCTCCAGACCCCAGCCAAGGAAGTCATTGGTGTAGTTGGGCTTGAAGTCGGGGCTCAGAACGCCAAGCCGTTGGCCATACTTGGTGACTTTGCTCCAGTCGCGATGGACATTCTTGAGGTCCTGCGAGAAGTAGGCGTAGCTGCGCTCAAAGATCTTCCAGTTGAGCCGGGAGTTCATGACGGGCTTGAAGTCGACGTATTCCTTCCACGCCTGGTGGGGGTCGGCGAGGACAAAGTCGGTTGCCTTTTTGACGGCGCGCATGAAGGCGCGGACCTTTTCGGGGTTCTCCGATATGAACTTTTCGTTTCCAATGTAGAGGATGGAGCAGAAGCAGCAGCAGCCGAGCTCGGCCAGCTCGTCGATGCGGAGCATTTGCACGTCTGACTTGTCGCGGCCCTGGGCGGCAAGCCACTCCTCCAGCTCGACCATTTGCACATTCTCCAGGCCGATACCGGCGTCAATGTCCCCGTTGATGATGGCCTTGGAGACGTTCATGCCGCAGCGGACGGCGGTGTAGTCTGCTGGGCAAAGGCCGTAGTGCGAGGTGAGCTCGTCGATCTGGATCTTGCCGAACTCGCCGACGTAGCCGATTCGCTTGCCCTTGAGGGAGCGGAAGTCGGCTGTGATTCCGGACTCCTTCAGGTAGACTACACCTGTGAAGGGCTCGTCCAAGAGACTGCCAATGGAGAGGACCGGGAAGTTGCGAGCCTTGGCCTACGGTTGACTTGTCAGAATGCCATGTCTGCCGGCCGCGGGGAAGACGAAGAAGGGATGGAGCTTGGCTTGCTTGTGGGACGTACAGCCAACGTGTGGATCATGGCCTTGAAGCCAAGGTCGACCTTGCCCGTGCCAATGATTTCGGTAACGTCCTTTGTACTGGGTTAGCTCCCTGTTTCGGCCCTCGCCAAATAAAAATTGAAAACCGCTCCATCGTGGACGTACGCTAGGGTCATTAGGCTCCAGCAACGCCACCTTGATACCTTGGTCCTTGAAGTACCCCTTGGCCTGAGCAAGGTAGAGCGGCGCGTGGTAGGGGGTAGCGTGCCTGCAACAAACGCCAGTCAGTCAACGTCCCAACAGTCTGCCGGGACAGCCCAGTCCTACCAGTTGGTGAGGAAGGTGATCTTATCCGTGGACATTTTGGCGGTTCGAGACGCAGGCTGCAAGAGTCAGCTGGTCTTTCGCGACGGCAAGTACGGAAAGAGGTCTTCAAGAAGCAAATCCTTTCGCTGGTATTATCCAGATCAAGTTCACCGGTATTTCTCAGATCAACCATCTCACCGCGGGGGCGCCTCTGAAAGCGACACAGAAAAAAAACGTCTCGTTGCCGACTCGCCGACTCACCCCATGTTTGATGGGTTCACTGGCGAGACGAGACGAGACGAGACGAGACGAGACGAGACGAGTTGTGCTGTGCTACGGCCGTCCAGAGGGGCCCCACGCGGGGATAAGATTGAACACCCGGTTGCGTTCTTGGTTCACTTTACCTCGACCTGACGATAGTTCCATTGCGAGAGGCATCATGGCTCCCCAGACGCTGATGGCGTACCGATCGTACTCGTACTACTGTGGGAGACGTAGAATCAGGGTCCGTTGACGGCGACTTTTCCGACGATGGAGAAAAACGAGGACAGCAGTTGAAGAAGCGAGCGGCAGGCGCGGCGCCTTGGCGGCACGAGCTGGCCATTTATATTCCGTTCAAGCTGCCGGCCTGGTACGACTCCACAGCTGTACGGAGTGGAGCACCCAGCAATGAGATGAGGGGTAACAACTCCCAATCACACGGCGGCGGATTTTCGGCTGTGAGGTGCGGCTTTTTCTATGATTGGTCGATGCTTTGCCATGGAATTTGCACCGTGTGCACAGTTTGCTCTTGATTCCTGGTGCCCGCAACGACATGGAGCCCTCGATGGACTTTTCTTGACCACGGGCCTTGAAAGGCCACGCTCGCAGGCGTTCCCTGTGCCCTGAGAATGACAGAATGGCTGCTGCAAAGAAAGGGATTGAGAAAATAGCGGACGGGAGAACGCATGTGTTTCAACGGTTTTTATTTACAAGACAAACAATAACGTACAACGAACAAGGTGTGTGCCGTTGTGATAATTGTGCGAGTAAAGTCCAATTTGTCCCATTGGCCGGCGGCCCAGCTCTGCCGAGCACGGCTTCCCGAGCGTCCGGTGTCCGGTGGGGCACGGGGACGTCCCGGTATTGCCGTAACCGGAAGTTTACTAAAGGTAGTCGCGGGCCGCCAGCAGTTCACGGCCCTCCGGTCGTGCAGCAGAACAAAGAGACATAGTTCGGCAGCCAGCCACGTAGGAGCCGTCACGCGCGAAAAACGTACTCATCTATTAGACGGTGAGCCCTAGCGAGCCTTTAAATAGCGTGGCGGGGCACGAGTACAGATTGGGGCAAAAAAAAAAGAGGAAAATGCCAATCTTGCTCATTGGGGGCGATGCCTTTCGTCTTCATTCCCCGCCCAAGCCGTACATTGCAACCCAGCTTTGAAGAAACCTGCACCAGTCGCCCATGGTGTCAATTTCATGGACACATCTCTCGCGACCGCGTTGTGTATGCGAAAAACATCGATATATATACAGTCCGAGGTCCAAGACAATCATTGCACCCCTCGCACCATTTGCCTGTGCTCTCACGGAATCGGAGGTTGCGCGGCAGGACTTGGGCTGCATCCTCAAAGGGCGCCGAATCTACTGTTGAAGAATCCTATCCGGGGGCTCCTCGTTACAGAATACTGCAATACTCTGCGCAGTAGCCCTCGGGCCCGGCCTGTCGTCCCGCCGGTTCGCTCTGCCCGCCCGCCGTCTGCATCGGGAAGCGGGCGAATCTACGAATGACGCCCGCCTTATCTTGCTCCCCTGTGTGCGTTGAGCCCCGGACCGTTTCAATGAGGTCGTAGTCTTTTGCGCACTCATCCAGCAGCAGTCCCAGCCGCGTCTGCTGAGTGGGATCCCGCGAGGAGAGCCAGGCGGCGATGAGACACAGCGGGATATGCGCGGCCGCCAGGGGCCTTCGGTGTCGTGCCCTCTCGGCAAGCTCGACCACGTCAGAGCAGAAGCCGTATCTCTCGGCGGCCAAGAGGTCACGAGGGCCAAAGTGTTTTCTCATGAAGCCATTCAGGGTGATGGCGATGGCCAGGACAAGGCTCTGGGCCGCGTGGAACTGGGTCTGCGCCCGCACAAGCTTGAGGGGAAGAGAAGTCGGTGGCCCGACGCATCTCGCCTCGATGACGCTGTCCGCAAATCTCTTCATGCCGGGGTAGTCGGTGCGTATCATCTCATAGTACGTCTTGATGGTGGCGCTGTTGCCGACGGGGTTCCGTATGAGCCCGGGCAGCTTCGAGAGCCATGGCATGTCCAGGGACCGGAAATTGAGACCCAGCTTCAAGGCCGCGTCCACTTCCTCCTTGCTCGCCAGGGTGTGAACCTTGTGTATCCACGGCTCTAGCTGGATTGCCGGGTTAAAGATGCTCTCGAGGATCTGCGCAGACGGTTAGAAACATCGAATGGGCCAAGCTCCAAAGACCGCGAGAAAGGGGGGGGGGCTGGCGGGCACCCACGACCACGACGCTGACTGATGCCATCAGCGTCCGCAGGAAATCGTCATGAGGTTGCTTGTCGACCAGCATCCTGAGCAAATGCGACATGCCCAAGCCGTGACTGGGATGGCGGTCGCCCTTGAAGGACAGCCACGGCTGCGCGGCCATGACCAGATACACGGCACACAGCGTCTCGGCCGAGTATGCCGTGCTCTCGTCCCCCAGGCTCTTCTGCACGGCACTCAAGGCTCCCACGTACTTTCTTATGGTATCCGCTGTGTGCTGTTTGGTGCGCAAGTCTCCCAGGGCGCCGACAAAGGCGGCGGCCGAGGCGTCCAGGGCGACACTGCGCCCGAGGCGCCGGGGGAGCTCTCTCATAAACGATCCAAAGGCGAAAACATCATACCTGGGGTCTGTCACGTCCAAGACGGACCCCAGCGCGCTGGCGGTGACGGTCACCTCGCTGCCTGGGACTGTGACGATGGAGGCGACATCTGCTCTGTTGGCCGCGGCGCGTCGTCTGCTCACTTGGCTGTTGACAATGGCAAAGGCGGTCGATACGTCGTGGAATTTATACCGCTGATAGCCAGAGCCTACGCAGTAGAGTTTGAGTCTCACGCAGCGAGAACATGACGGTCTGACTTGGTCGCACTATTAAAGATGAGTGTGTGAGAGGGTTTGATGAGTTGAACGTGACGAGCCCAAGGCTCCGAAACCCGGAGACTCGGAGACTCGGAGACTCGGAGGGCCACCGGTCTCGACGCGCGCCTTACCTTTTTCTTTACCTTGCGACAGGCTCCACAACTGCGAGATGACGGGACGCCAGGCATTTTCGAAGAAGCAGAAGAAAAAGAAGAAGAAAAGGAGAAAAAAACAAGGAAAAAAAAAGAGAGAGAGAGAGAGAAAGAGACAGAGAACCCATCGGAACTGCACCGTCTTTTTCTGCTCGGTGCTGACGTTTGGCCAACGTTGCAACAATGCAACCTTGCCTGACATGAAGCACCAAACTTGGTGATTGGAAGCGGTAAAAGCAGCCGGTTTTTGGCACATTGCACGTCCGAGGGATAAATGCACAACTGTTATCAAGCCTGAGCACATTATTTTCGTCTATCGTATCCTCCGAAGCTACGCCTTCGCTCCCGCGCCGCCAGTCCTTCATAACTCTCAGCTTCCCATCCAGGCCAACAAACGCCCAGTTACCACGCCATTCTGCCAAGCAGGCCTGTCGGCCAGCGCCTAACCCAATACCTCCTGGCCTCATCAATCAGCATGATGTAGATGCCAAAAGAAAACGGCAAGAACCAGTACTCCACAGGCACGTTGGCCGTTTGGATGATGGGCTGCAAAGGGGGGATATACAGCCACAATATCGCCATTGCCAAGGCAAACACAATTGCCGGGAAGAGGTACAAGTTCTGCGTCTCCTTGTCGAACAGAGGGGGGTGCTGGAAGATGCTGAGTCGTCTCGTCCTCGTGGCCATCAGATTGAACCACTGCATGACAACCAAGTTGACAAAGTAGATGGATGAAGCCTCGTTCAACCTTTGACTGTAGTAGTCCGGGTCAATGTGAGGCGGCAGCACGCCAAAACTCATCCACAGGTCTTTGAATGGGATCCCCTGCCGCTGCAGATACCAAAAGGCCATTGCAAACGAGGCAAGAGACTCGGTGATGCCGATGAATGCATACGCGTGGAAAATCAACTGCCAATTCACGAGCCGGTCTTTCTTCACGTTCCTCGGCCTTCGGAGGAGGACGTCCGCTTCGGGCTTCTCGTAGGAAAGGACCGTGGCGGCCGCACAATCAGTGAAGCAGCTATCTTTGGTTACCACGACTGTTTCCAGCATACACCAGACTGGCAGCTGAGGATGCAACTCACCAAATAATAATCATGAGAAACGACGACAGGATCTGCGGGATACCAAAAATCACCGACGTCATAACGGGCCAGAATTCGGAGAAACTGCCAGCAGGAAGCAGGTACGCGATGACCTGATGGCGACGTTTCCGTTAGTTGCGCTACACCCAAATTGCCGCCAGTAGACGAAGCTCACCTTTTTCAAGTTGTCAAACACCACTCGTCCATATTGAAGGGCTACAACTATCGAGGAAAAGGAGTCGAGCAGTATCATGTCCGCGGCCTCCATGGCAATGCCTGAACCGCTGCCCATCGATATACCAACATCGGCAGCCTTCAAAGAAGGCGCGTCGTTGACACCATCACCAGTCATGGCAACAATGTTTTGCTTCTGGTATTGTCGAAGGATAGAAAGTTTCTGTTCCGGGGTCGTTCTTGCAAACACCACCTCTTCGTACTCGGTAAGGAGACTCCATTGGTGAGGCGTCAGGCTCGTCAGCTCCGGGCCGCTGATGACTAAAGCGCCTCGCTTCAAACTGGCTGCTTTTTCATCCTCCGTGTCCTCAGGGCCGGAACCGACATCTGCTGCAGTTCTTTCCAGATCTGACGCGCCGTCCACAGGAACACAGGTAACGATGCCAGCTTCCCGAGCAATGGCCAACGCCGTCAAAGCGAAATCACCAGTGACCTGGGGTGTAGTCAGTACAGGCTGGAAGAAGATGAATGCGTGGATGAGCACGTTTTACCATAGAAATCCTGATACCAGCACCACGAAGGGTAGAGACGACGTCACGAATCTCGGGCCTCAGTGGATCAACGATGGCTACAAGTCCAACCAGAGTCAAACCGGCTTTCGCCTCCTCGACAGCCGACTTCTCGTAGTCACCACCGTCTTGAAGTTTACCGCCCGTTACGGTTTTTCTACCAAGGAACAGACACCTCTTTCCCTGAGAAGAATACATGCTTTGAAGGCTCTCAAATGTAGCCTTGGCCCCTTGAGTGAGTTCAAGAACCTCTCCGGAGGTTGCTAGGTAGTGCGAGCATCTCTTGACGAGGACATCTGGTGCGCCCTTGATGGTCAGCAGCCTATATTCAGGTCAGGCGTTTTTCTCCAAGAAGCTCAACGACGAGTATCTTACAAATCATTGTTCTGGAATCGGCTAGCATCCTGGGTAGTCAGAGTCCTATCCAACGCCTCAGGCCGGGCAATGGTGAAGCACCGGATCATAAACTTGTTCTTGCTATTAAAGGCAAGTTCAAACACCCTTTTCCAGCAGGATCGGAAATACTCAACGTTTCCCTGAGAAAAAGACTCGGAGAATTTCAGTATCGCGGTGTCGGTCGCGTCTCCAAATACAGGTCGGCTTGCAAGAGCAGCATCGGCTTGGGCAGCACTCATTTCGGCTGCATTGCACAGAGCTCCCAGTGCAGCAAGCTGCCCAAATATTGGAACGCCATCCGGCTTTTCTTTTTCATTGCCAGAGCGGGCGGCATCGTGTAGCTGTTGCATCGAGAGGGCAGTGGTGCCGATGGCGCAATCCGTAACCGCCATTTTACCCTGGCACAAGAGTTAGTTTCAACAAAGTCCCAGACACGAGTTCGTCATCTCACCTGAGTCAGAGTTCCAGTCTTGTCCGAGCAAATGACGGACACAGAGCCAAGCGTTTCGACAGTCTTGAGAGACTTGCAAAGAATCTTGTTTTTTTTCATCAAATTGGCGGTAATAGTCAAGCCAGCAGTGAGTGCAACAGGAAGGCCCTCGGGGATGAACGCTATGGCGACGCTGACGCAGGCGACAACCAAAGTAGGCACATTGATATAGTTGGGGTAATCTCGTCGCAACCAGACGGCCCTGTAGAATGAAGCGGTCAGCTGGGCGGAAGAATATGCAGCAACGGTGAACGAGCTGGGGAGAGTACATACCAGATGATGACGACAACGGCAACCATGATGAGCATGATTGCACAGATAAAGTAGACAAAATACAGGACTTCCCTTTCCAGTGTCGTCATGGTCGTCTTGGGCTCGTTTGTCAAGGTGGCGATACGACCAAACACAGTCCGGTCTCCAGTCGCAACAACAACACCAAGGGCAGATCCAATAGTACAGTGTGTCCCCTGGAGACCAATGTTATGCGTTTCCAGGTAGTTTGTGTCCGTGTAGTCAACAGTTGCCTCAATGGGTCTGGATTCGCCAGTCAATACAGAGCGGTCAAACTTGAGGTCGGGCGACACCTCAATGAAACGCAAATCAGCAGGAAGCTTGTTGCCAGCTTTGATAGCAACGAGGTCTCCCGGAACAAGGTCCTCAGCCTGCACTTGAACCATCTGCCCGTCTCTCACTACGTGGCTCTCTTCTGGCAACATGGCTTTAATTGACGACATGACACGCGAAGTTGACCAGTCTTGGAACATGGTGAAGGCTGCTTGAAGAAAAAAGACTGCCAAAAGAACAATCGCCAACGCCTGTTCGAGCGGAAAAGAGTTAGCATCGAATGGATAAAAGTCACGGCGAGTATGATATTTCGTCGCATACCAGGTTGGCCAGCTGGGGCGGCTTTCCAAGGGGCTTCCATGCCAGAAAGACCAAGATACTGCCAACCAGAAGAATACCACCAAAGCCCTTGAAAAAGTAACCAATCATAGTCAGGATCCGGTTCGACTTTGGGGGCGACGGCACGTTCTTCCCATACTCTTGAAGGCGTCTTCTGGCTTGAGTCTCTGACAACCCGTTGATTGTGGAAGTCACTAGTCTATCGGTAACCTCTGCTACCGTTATCGTGTGCCACTGCAGGCTACTCAAGTCTGTGTCGTGACGTGGTTCAGAATTCGATGCATATCGAGATGACTCGCGATGGGAAGAAAACTCACCTTTGGCCTCAACTTCGCTAGGTCTTATATACTCTGCTTGTTGTTCGTTTCCTTTGGATTCTTCTATTTGGTATGAACTTTGACAAGGTCAGTACCCAAAACGTGCGCGGTGAGGATGTTTGACGAACATGACTTACACGGTACGATACTGAATAGGCAGCGTAACAGCAGGATCGACCATGATTCTGCCATGAACACTTCGTATGGCAAGCGAATCGGTAGAATTGGCACGACCAAGCCTGGTTCCGGAACGGCTTTTGCGGCTACCCTGGCCCTCTTCCTCATCCCGCCAACGAACTCGGTCCACGGCTTGTGAGTCTTCAGGTTTTGCTAGAGACATGATTTATGTAAGACGGAAAAAAAGATGAAAAATAAAGATAAAAGCCAAGTCAGAAAGGATACTTGGAACAAAAGAAAGAAATCTATGAGACAGAACGAATTCAAAAGTCTATCAGGATGAACTCAAAAAATTCTAACGGCGTAAACGATCCAACTCCTTGGGCTCTGCACACAACAAAGACACCTCAAACCCAGAGCACACAACTGGGCATTTATATGCTGGGCAAACGCGGCCAAAAAACCTCCATGCCAGGAGGGAGCCGGCGCAAGCCTATACGAACATGACGATTCGGCTTTCCCGATGCGGCTATATTTGTCCGTGGCAATGCGAACAATCGATTCAGTCTTTCATCTTGACTGGCCGCTTTGTGATAACATATTCACTAGACACAGCTACCTCCATTTCGGCCACTGCCATCACTTGCATGCTAGCAGAAACGACATGGGGTGTTGGTTAGGTCAGGGTTAAATGGACCTGCCGTCATCCATCACCCGCCGTTAATTGACAGGAGTCCTGCCGCGACAAAAACTGGCTCGAGAGTTTAAATGGGACGGGGGACAAGGTGCAACAATGGCAACGTGGCTGGCGAAGGGGTCAAGACTCAGTCAATGGCAAGGGGGTTATTGCAGATGCCAGGTGTTTTGGGAACCGTGTCTACTGCGCCTCGCAGAAAATGACAGTATTTATGCACGAAAAGGCATCCCATCATTGCCAGAGTTGCCTTGTCCAAGTTGACTATAAGGTGAGCGCTTTTTGACGTTAGTTCGACCCTGTGGGCAGCAATAAAAGATCAAAACACGACGAGTGCTCCGAGTCTTCCAGTAACAGAATACATGTATCCGCCGTGTAGCTGAGGTAAGAATTTTGGAGCGGCGTGTATGAGCGATATATGTTCTGGGAACATGCTGAACGGTGCCGTGGCAAATGAGAGGCGGTAGCTACTAGCCAGCACCTCCACGACTGGAGCAGCTCACAGTGGGAACATCAAGTTCTCCGTTTGGTGCCGATCGGCGACATGAGATGATGGTTTGGGATGGCTGCGTTCTGAACCCTTTTGCCAGCACTTGCCCCAGCGTGGGAAGGAACCATTTGCCTGCCACGAGAACAATTTGGGACAAAATTGGCCCGAATGATGCGAGTTTGCACAGTAACGTCCCGAGTCGATGGCCGTCTAATTTGTTTTTAGCGTTTTGCCATTGCGTTGGCGCGGTCCGGCCAGGGGCTTTTCCATGTGTTAAAGACGCCATGAGCGCCATCTCATCGCCCTGCTTGGCGTGTTTGACCGCAAAGGTGTCGGCCGATCGCTTGCTGCCATCGCGCGCGAAAAATGCCGATGGTTTTGGCGGTGGAGCAGACGAAAGAGCATTGCCACGGCCACCATCGTCATTCCACAGCGACTAACAAGGACGGTGAGTTCTTTAACAAAGTTCAGACAAGCTCCACCCACCCAGACGGTACGGTACGGTGGTGTGTGGCAGTTCGGCAGGGTCCAATCTTTGGATCGTGGAGTGCTTGGCAGTTTACTGACTCGGTAGTGTGCCATAAAAGCTTTCTCGTGAAGCCGCCTGACAACGAGTCGATTAGCTTAGACCACATGCCACGTCCGCCCTGAGGAATTCCAAGGAGTACTGGGGACGGGCATTTGGTAGCGGGACAGAACGCTTGCTGCAGATTGCAGATGCCATTTGGCGATATCAATCCTGCTAGTTCACGGAGAGTTGCCTCTGTTACCTGTAGCCACAAGGACTCCTGTCGGTCGTTTAGAAGGCGCAGCAGCGGCAGGATGGAGCAACCTCCTCCCGATGCGTGCGTGAATGGGCCAGTCTGGATCGACGTTTTTTGGATGCAGGTTTACCAGTTCGGTGGGTTCGCAAGCTGAACGAAGCAAATCCTCCACAAGCCCACCTAGACGGAATGTCCTTCTATTGTCGTCGTCCGTGTGTCGCCGTAGTTTTGGTAGATGGAGAGAGAGGACGAGAAATGCCTGGGCCCCCTTTCTCGGTTCTCCGGCTTCGCAAGACTACTCAGGTACCCACCAGCTCATCAGTTTTGACAATGCGAACATGAGGCGGTCTGACCACAACTCGGGCTCCTCGCACGCCGTGCCGTCAGAAAGGATGGTCCATGAGGCGTTTCGAGCAGGCGAAGAACCAGATTGGTGGGCCCCGGTGTTGGAGGGGTGGACTCGATTGTTGATGGTCGACATGATTCTGTGACCTGTCAGCGATGCCTGTTGGTTGTTATTTCAGGCTGTGAGAAGAAATCGACAGCTTACTAAGCAAGCAACTCAATGTTGCTCGCTAGCATATGAAGACGCACATGCGACGCCGCATTTCAACGCGCCGCCCCATGTCGTTGACCGCAATCGACAGGCGTCAAATCGCATCTTCTCCTGAAGACAAAATAAATGCCTTGTCCACCTTAAGACTCAAAATGCTGCGCCAGTATTTGGTGTTTTTTCTGCCTTGTTTGGCCTCTGGCCTTCAACTGTCAATCTTTGCATGTTTCATCCCAGCATTTTGGTGCAACTCACGGGCAAGAACAGTGCACCAACCCTGGGAACACGCCAGTGGCACACGCCTCGACCTGACCTGCCCCTACGGAGTACTTTGTTGGAGGCCACTTCAATGTTGACCAGATGATCGCTGGCCCCTTGCCCCGCCGCCCTTCCGCCTGAGCGCTCAACGCCGTCTTGGATGTTTGCTTGTGGCAGTGCCTTTGGAGAGCTGTCGCTGGTGCCCTTGCCTCGCGTCAGTCACACTTGCGCAATTCCACACCGGAGCCGACCTATTCTTGCAGGTAAAGTGTCCATGAGAATGGCACAGGGTCGCTGATCTCCGTTTCCTGGCTGCAAAGACTGGGCTGGGGCTTGAGGTTGCTGGGCTGTGCTCACTGCTCACCATTATGCAATTATGCAACACGAGACCGTACTCGGTTGTACTTTGGTCTGTTGACGTGGCCGACCTGCCCACCCTTGATAGCGGACTGCTCCTTCCTGTCCCTTCATTTCATTTCGAATCATCGCGACAGTGACTCGACGGTACCTCGGTACATTGTACGTACTTGCCTTGTCTCGACTCGGAATAATTAGCTCACACCAGATTGGCTCCGAGTACTCCGTACTCGTTTCATTTTTATTTTATTTATTTATTTATTTTTTTGGCCCCTCGCCCGATCCGTAAACCCCTTCTTGCCCCCTCTCCTTCCTCCCTTCCAGGCGTCCACACCCGCCTGCCCCAGCACCCCTAGCCCCAGCATCAGTCTTCCTCTCCGCCTTTTCCTCTTCTGCCATCAAGCGCGCGAGTATTTGAGGCTTCAAGTGGCCACCTCCCACCTCTTCCACCTCACCCATCATCTGGCCATTTCCACCATCAGTCCGGGCCATCATGGCCGACTTGGCTGTTCTCTAGCATTTGCTTTCTGCCCAAGGCTTCTTCGTCGTTGGTTATTCTCTACAGGCCCCGTGCTCGTTGCTCACCCCCCTGGCCATTGTCCCATCCCTCCATCCACCCGCGTCATATACCCCTTTGGACAACCCCAGATACCACACATCCATCCCAAATGCCCAAGTACACCGAAAAAGACTTGCAAGAAGCCGTCCGTGAAGTCCACCAAGGCACTTCACAACGCTCAGCTGCTAAACGATGGCACATCCCACGGGCAACGCTGCAAGACCGACTCAATGGTGGCATTTCCCATGCTGAGGCCCATGAGTGTAGACAGCGTTTCTCACGGCAGCAGGAGAAGCTGTTGTCCCGCTGGATCTTCCAGCTTGTTGCTCTTGGCGTTCCTCCGACCCAGGGTCAGTTTGAGGAATTCGCAAGTCGCATCTTGGTAGTTCATGGAGACAGCCAGCCATTGGGCAAACACTGGGTGCAAGGGTTTCTAAGACGAAACCCTGATGTGAAATTAGTCAAAGGTAAGCTTAGTCACAGCTTTTGTAATAAATTTTGGTCTTGCTTATGTTGCCGAGTCCGGGACAATGTCTGATGCGAAGCCACATGAACAGGGTATCTATTTTCTACTCATCCGTCAGAACCTGAGGATGCTGTCTGCATCGCGCCATCCCATCAGTCCAGGCGGGCACGACTTCAGGAGCCGACATGCACATCAACACGCCAGATGGAGGGGCAGCAAATTTCCTCAGAGAATGATTTTCATGAAGAAGCCGCAGCAACTTGGGACTCTTATTCTTACATGGATCACGATGCAGAAATCTTATTCGACAGTGAAAGTTTGGAAACTCCGGACTGGATCGAGCCATCCGGGCCATACTTAGAAGAGTACAACTTTCCTCTCCAAGAATGATGACTCACGATGACCAAATACCCCTGCCACCTCAGCTTGTTTCTTCTCGGCGCAAGGTGTTAAACGGGCATTTTGGCGGCTACTGGTCTTTGCCAGTCACCCTATGATGTGTCATTGACGAAGCTGGACCTTCAACAATATCTCGACAAGCTATGCCCTTTCGCTGGTTCCATTGACACAGTCCTATCAGTACGTGCTACTCTGCGCTGTGAAGGACTCGGGGAGCGGTTGGAGATGTCTTCTGTCTCTTGGCGTTGGTGGTCCTAGGCTGCAAACTGCTGATCGCCAATACAACCCTTGATAAGACTCTTTCCGGTCGGTAGTATTTACCAAGGAGGAGTTGCGGACAGCATGTTGGGCGGTTTGGTCTGAAATAACAATGCAGGCTTTGATCTTGTGCCATGTGCCGACGTGACTGTTTTGATGTGATACGAAAATATACTACACCAAGGGCCCGACTGCAGATCAGATGAGAGGCGCCATCAGTCTTCTTGAGCCGTGGGAAAAGCCGTGGATTCATATTCATTGTTCTCGACAGCTCGAAAGTCGTGATTAAGACACCCCACCAGCCAATCTCGTAGGCCAATGGTCTTACACCATGTTCTGTAAATTCTCTTAGTATGCTATTTATTACATGGAGGTCCTTCGCCCTGGTTCACCACGGGGTTCTCGGCCACTTTGTTTCGGGGGCCTTGCATTTGCGATCTGGGGCCGTCAGGACAGTTCCCGATAAACCCGGACAGCCCGAATCAGGTTCCCTTGAAAGCACGATTGTCCAGGGCCGTTACGGAGTATGCATGTGCCAAATGGCTTTAACGCAACCAGACTGATTACGGAGTACTCGGTTCCGATAAGACGAGCTAGCAACGAAACAGCGTCTCGATTCACACTCTGGACTATTCTTTCGTGCAACATTGGCACCTCTTTAGGGCCTCGAAGGCTCATGGCGCGCCTCCCCCACCCAGCGTTTACTTCTAAGTACCTAGGTACTTAAGTATCTAGGTACTCCGTACTTAAAGTAAGTGCATAATGCAGTGACTGTAGGCAGCAGAGGAAACACAGGTGCGATGTGGCAGTTTGTATCCCACCAGGTGTCAGTACAACCATCACCAGCTAATTTTCAAGCAGACTTGGGTACTAGTTACTTGACTGTCGGCGTCCGATTGGACTTTCTCCCAAATTTTGCCCACGACCCCTTCGAGGGCTCTAATGAGATGGTACACAAGTATCAATTGGACAAGCGATGAGAGCCTCGCCTACCTAGGTACTTAAGTACTTAATTTATCTGCACCCTTGTGCCTCCTGTGTCTCCTGACGGTGTCTCCTGACGGCGCAGTGGCCAAAGGGTCGAGCCACGCACAACCTGTGCGACCGTGCGAGGCTCACAACGGCCCGGCGCGCTGGTCCGTAACAAATCTCGTGATGATGAAAAAGGTGGTTACATGGCAACAGCGTAAAAATCGCGCGACCGAATAGATCTTGTACAGTCAAGCGAGGGGCTTCCGTGCCGGAACAGCGCTTTCCTATATATAACTTGCAACTAATACTTTGCGTACTTAAGCAACTACTTTTATCTAGTTCCCTTCTAGGCTTTCTCCTAGACTAGATGCTTGCCAAGGACTGGGCTTACAGACTGCGGTATGTACGCATTACGAGTATTAACCATGGCCTTGGGGGAGAAAAGAAGCCTGAGTCCCTGTACATGACTACATGCCTGACCTCGACGACGCCCCGACATGGCCTTCGAAACGGCGGTCCTGTGCAATACCATATACCTGAGGTGTCGGCTCGAGTGCACAACAATACTGTATCAACAGCAGCTAGTCGCCTTCAGGCCGCTTTCTGAAGGATTACTTGGCAGGTTGTACCGGAACAGAAGACCTCATGCCCATGGCATTACGATATATCTCCTGTATCAAGTCTAGTGTGACAAGGGGTCATAAAGGACTTGGAGTAATTCAACTGTTAGGCGCACTTTGATATTAAAGATGCTTTGGGTTTCGACAAGGTCCTCACGCCCGCAGACTTCTATTTATGCAGCACCCTTCTGCCCTAGGTCCCGTGATTACAGCCCTTAGGTGACCGTGTGACCAACGTATGACATCTAGTTCCCATTCATCTAACCAACGTGCTATTTGTTCAAAATAACTCCAATCTAGCCTTCAAATTTTAGTACCTTTTTTTAATGACCCTCAACCTGCTTCAGGAGGCCCTCAAGGTTGATGCTCTTGGGGCGCTCAATCGGCAGACCAAGTGCACGGTCCCAGATCAACTGGGCCAGAGGACCGAGACCACGGGACACGCCAAAGGTGGCGGTGTAGTACAGAGTCTCATGGAAGCCGTAGTGGTGGAATAGGACACCGGAGCTGCTGTCAACATTAGGGTAAGGGTTCTTCGTCTTGCCGTGCTTCTTCAGGACCTCGGGAGCAATGCGGCTGTTCTTCTCAACCAGCTGGAAGACGGGGTCCTTGGCAATCTCGGGACGGGCAGCGGCATAGTCCATCAAAGCCTCGAATCGGGGATCGGGCTTGCGAAGCACGGCGTGGCCATAGCCGGGGACGACACGGCCAGAGTTGAGAGTGGACCACAGGTAGTCATGGACATCCTTCTCGGTATACGTGGCCGGGATGGCATCCTTCATCTGAAGAATCCATCGAAGAACCTCCTGGGCAGCCAAACTAGCAAATTGTTAGACATCAAGGTCACTGGTGAACGATGAAGGAAACAAAACTCACCCGTGGAGGGGACCGGCCAGGCCTTGGAGACCAGCGCTGTAAGAAAGGAACGGATCGCTAAGAGCGCTACCGACAAGGTGGGTGGCGTGGGCAGAGACGTTGCCACCCTCGTGGTCTCCGTGCAGGGCAAGATAGAGACGGAGGAGATCTTGGAAATTCTCATTCTCCTTGCCGGCCTTGCCGAGCATAGCAGCAAAGTTGTAAGACCAATCCTGCTCGAGGTCGACCTCTGCAGGAAGGGCACCACCTCCACGGTAGGCATTCTGGTAGATCTTGGCGGCAATGGTGGGCAGCTTGGCTAGGAGAGAAATGCAGTCGTCAAAGGTAGGCTCCCAGTAGTCAGCTTTGTTTAAGCCGGCCTCGTACGCCTTGGCAAACTTGGATTCGTAGTTGAGGGCGGAGACCGCCATGGCGAACTGGGTCATGGGGTGAAGGTCCTTGGGGAAGTTGTCGAGCATCTTGGAGACAAACTCGGGGATCTGAGCCTTCTGGGCCAGCTCGCGAGAGAAGACGCGAATCTGGCTGGTGGAGGGGACCTGGCCGGTGAGGAGAAGCCAGAACATGGCCTCGGGAAGCATCTCGGTGCCAGTCTTGCCCTTGGGGAGGACCTTTTGGCAGTCCTTGATGGTCTTGCCGTGGAAGCGGATGCCCTCGTTGGCATCGAGGACGGAGCCTTCCCAGACCATGGCTTTCAGGCCACGCATACCGCCGAGAGTGTTCTCGATCTTGACCTCGCCAATGGTCTTGCTACCGTGAGCCTTGACCTTCTTGAGAAGCTCACGCTTGGCTGGAATGACCTGCTTGAGGGTGGCCTTGAGGTCCGGCTCGGCGGTGGAATAGCCGCGGGCGCCGAGAAGAGCGGCCCGGGTCAGAGGCTGTGCCGTACGAAGTCAGCTTGATGCGCGTCATGGCATTGGGGCGATGCGGCATTGAATGGCAGCGACTGGGCATCAATTTGCTGCCATTGTTGGCGCGGTCGTACCTTGAGAGAGCCTAAAGCCCGAGTAGAGTTTCTCAGGTTCAGAGCCATGGTTGTTTACGCTCGGCTATGTGATGGCAGAGCTTGCAGGATCTATCTGTCGGCAGGTCGATTAGGCTATACCACGCCAGGCGTAACAAAAGTACATGCAATACAATGAGGGTGCTTCAGTCTCCTTTGAGCTTACCAGAGCTATGAGAGAGAAGGTAGAAGACTGGATGCAGGTCTGTTAGAGAAAAGATGGCCGTGCAACGTCGAGGGAGGCTGACCAGAAGGTTATGCCGAGAAGCCTTGGTGGTGACCAGTGACCATCCACCAGTTGCCCGCATGTGGAGAACGGATGCACATGCCATGATGCAGCAATGGAGCGGAGCAGCCGTCGTTCCTTCCCCGCCAACCACGAGCCAGACAGCAAGTGAGACAGCCGAGGAAAGCCGCGGGAGCGCGGTCCAACGGTTCGTGATTTTGTCATGTCAGCCACTCTCCGCCACATGTCCGCGACCAGTTGAGCTCTTCACCATCGCACCAGTGCTACGGAGTAGCTGCATCATCAGTCGCTTTCTCCCGAGTTCCGAGCTACTCCGCAGGCTTTAATTACAAACCCATCATCAACTGCTTAGCCTGCATTTGGATACCAGCGAAAACAATAGGGCAGTGGCAGTGGCAGTGGCAGCGCGTTGGCTTTTCGTTTTGGTCATCGTCCAAAATACGCAGGAAAGGCTGGGGTACTTGATTCCCCCAACCCGCCAAGCCACCCTCTTCAGACGTTCGTTCATTCATCATCGCCACCATGCTGCGAAGAGCTGCAGCCAGATCCTGTAGGCGAGTCTCGCCCAGCATCAGTCCCCGAACGACTGTGTACCGCTCGACAGCTATTCGTGCCATTTCCACAAGCGCCACCATGTCTGGCCCAGCTGGCAATCCCTTCTCGCATGCCATTCCCGCCGCCGACTCGTTCCAGCTGCTGCCCGAATCGCGAAAGACGGGTGAGGCCGAGGATGCTCTGTACGAAGCCCAGATCAAGGAGGTTGAGGCGTGGTGGACTTCTCCTCGGTATGCCGGCATCAAGCGACCCTATAGTGCTGCCGATGTCGTCACGAAAAGAGGCACCCAGAAAATCTCATACCCCAGCTCCGTCATGGCCGCCAAGTTGTTCAATCTGATCCAGGAGCGCCAGGCCAAGGGCGAACCTATTCACACAAGTACGTCTTGGTGCATGCATCGATTGACCCTGCAAGCCTGGCTTTACTAATCAGCGAACAGTGGGTGCCGTTGATCCCATCCAAATGACACAGCAAGCTGCTCACCAAGAGGTCCTGTACATCTCCGGCTGGGCTTGCTCGTCGCTGCTGACCACTACCAACGAAGTGTCCCCCGACTTTGGTGACTATCCCTACAATACAGTCCCCAACCAGGTTCAACGTCTGGCCAAGGCCCAGAGCATGCATGATCGCAAGCAGTGGGACGCTCGTCGGAAGATGACCTCTGAAGAGCGCGCCAAGACGCCATATATTGACTATCTGCGGCCCATCATTGCTGATGGCGACACTGGTCACGGGGGTTTGTCCGCTGTCTTGAAGCTTGCCAAGCTGTTTGCCGAGAATGGTGCCGCTGCTGTGCATTTTGAGGATCAGCTTCACGGTGGCAAAAAGTGCGGCCACCTTGCCGGCAAAGTCATCGTCCCCATTGGCGAACACATCAACCGACTGAATGCGGCCCGATTCCAGTGGGACGTCATGGGTTGTGAGAACTTGGTGATTGCCCGGACCGACTCCGAGTCTGGAAAGCTGCTTTCCTCTGCCATCGACGTCCGCGACCACGAGTTCATCCTTGGTGTAGCTGACCCGTCCATTGAGCCACTTGCCGAGACGATCCAGTCCATGGAGGCCAAGGGAGCCACTGGCTCTCAGATCGACATATTTGAGGCCAAGTGGGTGAAGAGCACCAAGCTGGTCACGTTTGACGAGGCTGCTGTCGCCCACATGAAAAACGAAGGTGTCAGCCAGGAAAAGATCAACGAGTACCTGAATTCCACTTCCAAAGACCGGGATATGGGCATCACGCGCCGTCGTGCTCTGGCGTCTCACTACTCCAAGACCCCCGTCTACTTCAACTGGGACGTTCCCCGCACTCGTGAAGGTTACTACCACTTTAGAGCCGGCATGGAGGCTGCCGCCAAGCGTGCGCTGGCCTTTGCTCCCTATGCTGACCTGCTCTGGGTTGAGACTGGGGACCCCAATGTCGACGTCGCCACCAAGCTGGGGCGTACCGTGAGGGAAGAGTATCCCAACAAGGGTCTGGTGTATAACCTGTCCCCGTCATTCAACTGGATGGCGCACGGCTTCACCCCCGAAACGCTCAAGTCCTTCATTTGGGACATTGCCAAAGAGGGCTTCGTCCTTCAGCTTGTTTCCCTGGCTGGACTGCACTCCACGGCAGCCATATCATGCGAGTTGGCGCGCAACTTCAAGACTGACGGCATGAAGGCGTATGTCGAGCTCGTTCAGCGAAGGGAGAAAGAACTTGGGTGCGACGTGTTGACGCATCAGAAGTGGAGTGGAGCCAGCTACATTGATGGCATCCTGGGGGCTATTCAGAGCGGCAGCTCGAGCAGCAGAAGCATGGGCGAGGGCAATACGGAGGGCCAGTTCAACTAGACTCGCTTTTGGCCGAGGCAGATATGAGGACAGACGGGGCAAGCATGGACCGGAGTTTACATTTGGTTGGACGTAGTCTTGCACTTTTCTTCCTTTCTTTTTTTGTGAAACAATCAAGCCAAAGTATTATGGCTACTTTGGCAGCTGCCAAGTTTAAGTTTATTGGATGTGACATGCCGCAGGCCAAAGAGCGCTACTGACTATGCACGGATGATTTTTTAGCCAAGTCCATAATCGCAAACCAAACATGATGTCTCCATGCCGGTTTTTCCCTCTTTGCGCGAATATAGACCCACACGCCCTCACTCCAAGGAATTCTTGGAAGCATTGTTCTGAGGGACGGCAGCAGGAGGACCCTCGGGGGTAACGTAGGCCTTGGTCATGCCGCCATCAACCACAAAGTCGTGGCCATTGACGAAGCTGGCATCTTCACTGGCCAAAAACACGACGGCATGGGCCTGCTCGACAGCCTCGCCAAAGCGACCCATGGGGAAGTGCACCTCGCGACGGTGACGCTTGGCCTGGTCGTCGCCCAGCCAGTCCTGCAGCAGCGGGGTATTGAGCGGCGCGGGGCACAGGCTGTTGAACCGGAAGCCCTCGCGGGCGTGGACCATGGCCAGCTCACGCGTCAGGGCCAGGACGGCGCCCTTGGAGGCGGTATAGGCGAGCTGGGGGGTGGCGGCTCCGACGAGGGCGACGACGGAGGCGGTGTTGATGATGCTGCCCTTGTTCTTTTTGTGGCGGCGGAGCGCTAGCACGGCATGCTTGCAGCCAAACCAGACGCCTTTGACGTTGATGTTGTGCGTGAGGTCCCAAATGTCCTCGGGGGTGTTGACGGCGTCGTCGTCCTTGGCGTGCATTATGCCGGCGTTGTTGAACATGATGTCGAGGCCGCCCCAGGAGTCGACGGACTGGACGAGGGCTTGGACATCGGATTCTTTGGAGACGTCACATTTCTAATTGAAGCTTCTTTTAGTCGTTTTGCTTAGTCGGTCATGTCGTTGACGGGCTTGGAAACTTGTGGCGGAGCGCACCCTTGTTTCGACCTTGGCCGCGGGAACGAGCTGCTTGACCTTGGCCAGGGCCTTTTCCAGCGCGGGCTCGGAGATGTCGGCCATGAGCACATTGGCACCTTCTCTGGCAAAGAGGATGGTGGTTTCGAGGCCAATGCCACTGCATGGTTGCCAAGTCAGTACGGAGGATGGGGGTGGGTTCAATGTGAATGCGAGCATGCGAGAGCATGGTGGAAGTGGACGATGAGCTGTACGCACCCGGCGGCGCCGGTAATGACGGCGTTTTTACCCGCAAGACGGCCCATTTTAATGATTGTGGGGAGAGGGGGGAAAGAAGAAGAAAAAAGACTGATACAATGTGGTGGGAATATTCGCGAGAGAAAGGAGGGAGGGCAAGAACAAGTGGGAAAGAAGGTCGACAGGAATCAGGATGGGCAGCTGCCATGTGTACAGACCTTGTTTGTGTGAGTGGGCACTGGCGGGGTTGATAAGAAACGAGTAGTCCACGTCTGTCCTGTCCTCTCAGGGCCAGCTGCTCGGTCAAGTCATGGCCATGGATGGCTGTCTTGTTACTGCCTGTTCCACGGAAAAATACGCCGGAATTGCAATACGCATCCTAGACCGTTTTAGAAGCTTGGAGTGAGGCTTGACATTGTACTTATATACTTGTCAGTCTGTTGAAACCTGCCTCGTCCAATGTTGAACATTGAAACCTCCAACCCCACCATCGCCGTCGGACTGGCCTTGGAAGCGCCGCACCAATCAAGGCGCCGTCAACCCTTTCCCAAAATCTGCATCCCAAAGCGGAAAGACAGATGACGATGCAGATTGGCTCAAAAGCCGCCCGTCTCGTGGCACAGTCATCGCAGCCGAAACCAAACCGCCTCCCTGCCCCGAGGTCGCGTGCCCTGCTTCTGTCCTGTCCTGTCCTCGAGTGTTCCTGGCTCTCGCAGCGTGCGCGTTGATCTTGAGATACTTGAGGTTCAAAACTGCCGCCCCTGTGCGCGCATCGTCCCATTCTCTCCCCACTTTGCCCAAGCTCAAGTTTCTCGTGGATATGCCTTATTAGACTAGGCTTGGGGCTGCTCGCTTGCACCCTCACACATCACCGGCTCTACGCGACAAACACGTAGGCTCTCTACCTTTCTTCCTCACCATCGACTGATGCTGGTCTGTCAACGACCGCCTTCTGCCGCCCTCGTCACTCAGCGAAAAGCGACGCGCCTTCGCGCCCTTTCCTCGTCACTATGGGGTCCGAAATCACCGCCTCCTCACTCTCCCAGCTCCTCGAGCACGACACATGTGTGAAGCTCGCCGGCCTCGACGTCGACGGCATCTTGCGCGGCAAGCTTGTCTCCAAGAAGAAGTTCCTGTCCATCGCCGCGGAAGGGTTCGGCTTCTGCTCCGTCATTTTCGGCTGGGACATGCACGACCGGACCTACCTCAAGGAGCTCAAGGTGTCCAACGCCGAGAACGGGTACCACGACATTCTCGCCATTCCCGACCTCTCTACATTCCGCAGGGTGCCCTGGGAGAACAACGTGCCGTTTTTCCTTGTCAGCTTCCATGACCCGGACACCAGGAAGCCCATTGCCCCTTGTCCGAGGGGCCTGCTGAGGAAGCAGTTGGACAAGGTGCACGCCAAAGGCTACGGAGCCATGGCCGGCGGTAGGTTTTTATTTTCTATTTTTTTTTTTGCTGCCCTCAAACAACGCGCACAAACTGGGGGAAAACGACACTGCAGATATGTGTACTAACTTGAGCCAAAAAACAAAACAAAACAGCTGAATACGAGTTCTACACCTTCCGCAACCCAAACAACGACAGCGCCTCTCCCGCCGGCTTCCTCCAGCACAACCCGCCGCATCAGCTGCCGTCCCTGACTGAAGGCATGTTTGGCTACTCGCTCAACCGGCCTGTCCACAACAAGGACTGGTACTACGACGTGTACAGAACGTGTGCCCGCTTCTCGTGCGACATCGAAGGGTGGCATACCGAGTCCGGGCCAGGCGTCTACGAGGCGGCGCTCGAATTCGGCGAGGTGGCAGACATGGCTGACCGTGCCAGCCTGTTCAAGTACGTGGTCAAGAGCGTCGGCATCAACCACGGCATCACGCCGTGCTTCATGGCCAAGCCCAAGCAGGGCCTCCCCGGAAACAGCGGCCACATGCACGTCTCCATCGTCGACAAGCACGGCAAGAATCTCCTCGCCAGGGACGACGTGGACGCCGCCGCCAAGTGGAACGACATTGCGGCCCTGTCCGACCTGGGGCGGCACTTCCTGGCCGGTCTTCTCGAGGGCCTGCCGGATGTCATGCCCATGCTCGCACCGACAGTCAACTCGTACAAGCGGCTCGTTGAGAACTTTTGGGCGCCCGTCACTGTCTCGTGGGGGCTGGAGCACCGCGCGGCTTCTATCCGTCTCATCTCCCCGCCGACCTCCAAACCTGGCGCGACGAGGTTCGAGGTGCGGACGCCCGGCGCCGATTCAAATCCTCACTTTGTATTGGCAGCCATTCTGGGCTGTGGGTGGCGTGGCGTAGAGAGGAAGCTGGAGATTCCGTGCCCGCCGCTGGCAATGGGGCAGGATACAGGCGGTGCGGGCGACATGGGCGAGCGGCTGGCCAAGAGCCTCAAGGAGGCTACGGCGCGATTCATGAGAAAAGATAGCATCGCGAGGGAGATTTTTGGTGACGATTTCGTCGATCATTTCGGTGGCACCAGAGAGAATGAGGTGCGGCTGTTTGACGAAGCCGTCACGGATTGGTACGTTGCCGAAACCGTTGACAGACACATGACATGCTTTGTGCTGACGGATTCTAGGGAAATGAAGCGCTACATTGAGACCGTGTGAGCGAGTGTGGGGTACGAACAGCGTCGAATCGGTCATGACGATATCCCGGCCGGGTAACGTCGTGTGCGTGTGTGCGTGTGTACATGTATGGCTCTATTGGCCGTGGTTCAGCCCTGTGATGCCATTAGTCTGTGGTGGGTGAATGTACACAAGAACAGCGCGTTGCGTTGCGCAGTTGTCGTAACCTCCCCAGTCTGTTTTCCTCTCTCCAACTCTCGAGACGGCCTTTATAGCTGTGATGATTGTCCTTCTGCCATGAATCAAAGCGAGCTTCGCAATCGGCACTATTCGCAGCATAGCTCGACACTCTCGGCGTGGTTCTTACTGGCAGCGTATGAGAGGAGCTGTATCTGGGCAGTCGGGCTCTTTCAGCACTCGCCGGATCATTGATCTTGCGGGATCACTCCATGATGCATGCCCCTTGGGTGAAACAGCATGAACGACGTGATTTCCAACACTTGCCGCGCCATCAGTAACCTCTATTCTCAACGCCCGTCCTTCCTCCTTCCCTCTGCCCCCTTTCCCCCTTGCCCCTCGCCACATGTCACGTCGACTGACGAAGAAGCAGGATCCTTGGATCTCCCTTACGCTGAAGCAAAAAGAAGACATCTTCTCGGTGCAAGCGACTGCCGCGAAACCCCATCGCTCATCTCACCCCCCATGGCCAAGCTCGGACAAGGGCTTGGGAATCGACGGACAGCAGTTTGCAGGCGAGATGTAGTTTAGTCGCGTCGTGTTCCTTTGCGTCTTGGCACCAACAGAGCGCGGCGCGTGCGCCACGGCCACGGCCTCGTGGCCAACGTGGCCGACCGAGGGCATATGCGACGAGGTATCCTTGTATACATTTAGCCAAGAAGCAAAGTCGGATGACGCCACGCAGCACTGCAGCTGGAGAGCTTTTCGACATTTGCGGTACCGGACGGGCAACATGGCTGGAAAATCCCGAGACAAGGGTAGGCGGTTGTCTTGAAACTGCTGAGCAGTTTCAAGACACGAGGGTAATAAATCACCAAGCCAACAAAGAGAAGGAAAAAACGGAGAAGTCATAAAAAATTTCAAACAGGGAAAAGAGAGCCGACCATGTTGCTGATTCTGGCCGACGATGCCATGTGGAAATGGAACTGAGAGGCCGCAGCATGAACCGTGGTCAAGTTCGTGTCTCGCAAAAGAAGGCACTCTTTTGCCAAGCAATTAGTCCCACTTACACGGATTCTTGTCTGGCAGTTCGCACCGACTGATGGAATAGGAAATCATGCGTCAATGCTGGCTTGCGAGCCAGGAACCCGACAACACGCGAGTTGCTCCAGCTAGAGTGCTTATTCTTATCCTTTGGCACCGGCATTTCTGGGCCCAACATGGCCACCAGATGCTTCGGGCGCCTGGGCACAGGGCTCGCGTCAAATTGCCAGGATGCGGTGTGGGATGAAATTCGGTTTTGTTCGGAAATCTATCGAGTCATGAGGGCGCCAAGACTCCCTCTGTACGCTCCGCCGAAGGCTCGAGTATTCAACCACACGCCGCGACAGTGGTGAAACGCGGGACAGGGTGGATGGAGCGGGTAAAGAGCTCTCCGTCTGTAGTCATGAGTCGTGGCATTACGTCGTCCTTGGTCGTCGGACAAGGTTCTAGGCTGATTTTGAGAAGGGGGCGGAAGTTTGAAGGGCCTCTTGAGGGGCCAACACGGCTTCTGATAAGAGGCTATTTCTGTTCGTCCTTGGTTCAGCAACAGCATCGCCCCGGATTTACCCACGGTCAGCATCGGACCCTGCCTAATATACTAGGCTCGTGCCAGACGGCTCGTCACACAGGACAGAGCGCGACGATGGCTTCGTATCTATCTTCAACCACGAATGGAGCACGTCGGCGAGGCTCCAGAGCTGCGCGGGGCCAACAATCTTATAAAGGGAGGCAAACAATTTATTGTAGTATGCAAAAGCCGTTACAGCTCGTTGTCCAGAGCGGGCCAAGTTGGTGTTCGCTACTCCTTCAAGCAAATGCCGTTTTATCTATACTGTCTTTTACAATTTGGCTTGCTTGCCACGTCTATTGTAGCAGAGAGCGTGTTGCAATTTAGCTTTTGTTATGTCATGTGTCGACTTGGGCATTTTCTTTCGCACCGTATGAGTTAGATGACGCGTAGCAGTCTTTGATATAAACTTGGTCGACCTCCCTTGCGAGGACTGTCGCTTTGGTCTAAATTTCCAAGTCATCCACCCATTCTTTGCCAACGGCCAAGATACTCTTTCATCTTCAGAATGTTTCCTAGGGCAGTTGTTTCAGCCGCGATTGCCACCCTGGCGGCTCAGATGGCAACTGCGCTACCATTAGCAGGAGGCTTTTCAAAGAGAATTATGGGAGGAGCAGAAGCCCCCCAAGGTGACTTTGAGTTTGCCGTGTCCCTCAACAATGAAGGCCGGAATATATGCGGCGGCTCGCTCATCGCGCCCGACAAGGTTCTCACAGCCGCTCATTGTGTTGAAGGCATAACGCAAAACACTGTAGTTGTGGCTGGATCGCATGTGAGTTTTCCTTTTGCAATCCTAGTCGGACGGTACACTTGCTGCAGTACCTGCATTTTATATATCCCGTAAAAAGGCTCAACTGATTCCTAACACAATACTCTATAGGATCGCCTCAACGGCCCCCATAAATCTCAAATAATGAGTGCTCAGACTCACCCCAGGTATATCCGGTCGAGGAAAGATTATGATATTGCCGTCCTGCACATATACCCAGAAATTAAAGACGTAACGCTTGGCAGTTTACCGGAGCCGGGCTTCGAAGTCTCACCTGGAACTGAAGTAAGAGCGGCCGGTTGGTATGTACAGTTGCGAAACATTTCATCTCATCGCTATTGAGCAAGTCTCTTTCTTACACTAAGTTTAGGGGAACTTTAGTTCCCACCGGTGAGATTCCTGGCTCTCCTGTGTTACAAGAAGCCACTTTTTCAATAGTGGACAGAGGGCAATGTCAAGGGGAAATAGTGGAAGAAACAGTCACAGAAAACATGATATGTGCACAGAGTGCGCAGATATCTGGACTTGGACCAGAATACCCGCCGTCGTTGATACCGGAATTGCAAGCAAGACATGCCTCCGGCCCTCGACCACGATCTCCACAAGAATTTCCACCGGGAATAGGCATTCCACAAGAATTTCCACCGGGAATAGACATTCCACAAGGACCTGCAACGGGACCAGGCTTTCCACAAGGACCTGCAACGGGACCAGGCTTTCCAGGCCTTGAACTAGGAAGCCAGAAAAATAAAACTTGTCCTGGAGATAGTGGCAGCCCCCTCGTTATTGCGAACGAACTGGACAAAAGGTCGGGCAAGACTGGCTACACGATCGTGGGTATAGCGTCATGGATTGTTTTGGGCAGAGAGGCTCCCGATGTCTATACGAATGTGGCGACGCTTATAGACTTTGTCGAACAAGCTAAACTTGGAGCACCTGGTCAGTCGGGAGGCTCCAATCAGTTAGGAGATTTGAATCAGCAAGGAGATTTGGATCAGCAAGGAGATTTCAATCAGCTAGGAGATTTGAATCAGCTAGGAGGTTCCGATCAGTTAGGAGGTTCCGATCAGTTAGGAGG